TTGGAGTTCTAGGTGGATGTTCAACCTTAATTGGTCTCCATCGAACCGCTGGTATATAAACAGTACATTGGAAAAGGCAAATCTCAGTGGGATTTTGAGATTTGGTGGGGGATTGTTGGAATTAATGAATGGGCCTTAGCCCACTCGAAGATTAATTCTTTGGAAAATCACAAAAGCCCACCTCATGGGATGGCATGCATGTGGAGTTTAGTACCACCTTGCTTATTCTAGGAGAGGGGGACCTCCTTAAAAGGGAGGATGCCCTCCTAGCCACTTGAAGCATGTGTGGTGGAGAGAAGAGGGGAAACACACGCGCGCGCTCGCTCGCCTCGCCTGGCATGGCATGGCATGGCATGGCATGGCAGGCGGCGTGCGTGCACGACGTACGCGTCGAATGGTCCGAAAAATTGGCTCCTCACCCTTGCGCAGATGCAGCCTCCTTTTGCAGTTTTGTTTTGCTGCAAATTCGGATTCGTTTTGTTTTGGAAACGTTCCGAAAAATCCGGTGCGTGCAAACGGCGTGGAGTCCGGATAAGTTACGCGCGACTTATCCGGTTCGGTTACGCGCAGTAGAGATCGTGCGGGCGCCCTGATCAAGCGACCCTTCTCTATATAAACCGACCCGCCGTCTTCACGCAATATATGCGAAAATCAATCTAGGGTTTGCCTCCTACTCTGTACTGCGCCGTCGCTCGTAGACTACTCCATCCCGCTCGCCGGCGTGCACCAGCGATCGGGAGAGCAGGTCTCCGGAACCTCTGCCTTTGACGTCCTGCACCGGGAGAAGGCGGCAATAAGGTTTTTGGGAAGCGCTTCACGCGACTGCTCCCTGTTCGTTCGCGACGGCTCGCCTTCCTCTTCGCTCGCGTGTTTCGTGCCTTCGTAGACACCTGCGAAATGTTTCGACCAAGCAGCCGGTCTTTTCGTCACCTCGGTACGTGTTCAATATGTTGCGCATATTTGATCTGTTCATGTTATTCTGCGTAGTTTACATGTGTAGATCTAATGAGGCGTTCATGCTAGTTTTCATCTGTAATGTCATGATTTATTTATGGAATAAATTAAATCATTATATACCCATAATCTCAACATTAACTGTGACGAGAAGTACAGCCGTGGCCATAACAAAATCTGCAAGCACTTGTTCCTCTTGGACTGCGCTATGGATGACGACGACGACACCGACGCGGCTGAGGAACCGCAGGACTTGGAGTCCCCGGTGTTCTCCCTCCACGCGATCGCCGGCGTACCGGTCGCCGACACCATGCAGGTACAGGTGACCGTCGGCGCCACCACCCTCACCGCTCTCCTCGACAGCGGCTCCACCCACAGCTTCATTGCCGAGGAGGCAGCGTGCCGCACGGGTCTGCCGGTCCAGCCACGCCCACGCATGACGGCGACTGTGGCCAATGGCGAGAAGGTCGCATGTCCTGGCGTCATCCGACAGGCCGTGCTCTCCATCGACGGCTCGCTCTTCACCGTCGATCTCTTTGTCATTCCACTTGCAGGTTACGACATGGTGCTCGGCACCCAGTGGATGGCGTCTCTGGGGCCGATTGTTTGGGACTTCACGGAGCGGACGATGTCCTTCCAGTACCACGGCCGCACCATCTGCTGGGCAGGCGTGCCGTCGTCTCCTGCACCACGCATCCGAGTCACAACAGCGGCCAGCGAGTCGCTACTCGATGAGCTCCTAGCCGACTTCGGCGACGTCTTCGCCGAGCCCAAGGGGCTGCCCCTGCAGCATGCTCGAGATCACACCATCGTCCTCAAGCCGGACGCGCCCCCTGTCGCTGTTCGTCCGTACCGGTACCCGGCGGCCCATAAGGATGAACTGGAACGGCAGTGCGCCGCTATGATCGAGCAGGGCATCGTCCGCCGTAGCGACTCGGCGTTCTCTTCACCAGTCCTTCTCATTAAGAAGGCTGACGGGTCGTGACGTTTCTGCATCGACTTTCCGCTCCAACGCCGCTCCCCGACATCCACCATGGTGCTGTTGTCCCTGAGCCGATTCGGGTGGAGAGCGCTCGCTTGGCGCGCGGTGTCCGCCAGCTTCTTGTGCACTGGCGTGGTGAGCCGGCCTCTTCTGCTACATGGGAAGACTTGGAGGAGTTCCGTGCCGTGTACCTGGATTTTCAGCTCGAGGACGAGCTGGATCTTGAGGGGGGGGAGAGATGTCATGTGGGGCCGCACCTATGTGCGTCAGCGTCGAGCCCACGACGTCAGGAGAGCCGCGGCCCGAGCGTCCGTAGCAGACTCAATCAGCGCGCAGGAAGGCAGGGCCGAGGATAGTAGCTAGCCTTGATTTTAGGAGAGTTATTTCCTAGTTTAATTATTTCCAAATTAGTAGTTTCTAAGTTTGTTGGCCGGTGGCCTACTTATCTTGTATTCCGGGTAAAAATTGAATTAAGCAAATAATTACCAATCTAATCTCCTCTCTCTCAACTAAGCCTGCGGCAGGGGGCAACCTCGCCGGAGAAGACGACAGACCGAGGCTACGTGCTACGTAGCCGAGGGCCGGCTACCCGAGGGCCTGACGCCCTTGACAAGTGCTCCCAGAAGAAACCAACAGAGGATACGAAATAAAGAAACTCATACAGGCGATATGCAGCGATGATCAGTGACCGTTCCATGTAAATTGTGTACAATAGGTAGCTAATTCCGTCCTAAAGCACTTCTGAAATTTTTCACGGGAACTAAAAATTAATGTGAAACTAAATGATGATTGTGATCAATTAGGATGAGGAAATAAATGAAGAAGCTAAAATAAAAAAAATGGCATGATAGTTTAGATGAAGATGATGAAATAGGTGAAAAAAATGCTAAATCTAGGAACAAATTTGAAATGCTAGAAGTTGTTATATTTTTTAACTGATGGGGTGTGAATTAGTTCAGTTTTTACGAAATTTCATTCAAGAGATTGTTGTTCACCAAGCAATGAAGGGATTAGTTGTAAAGCCCTGTTCTTTTAGCTGATTAGCTTAGCTATTTCCTTTTTCTACGTTTTCTAAGTTGCTAAATGGGATATTTTATTAGAAACTTTCTTTCAAAAATCAAACAAATATTTTCTAAAAATTTATAATAGTTATTAATCATGTGGTAATGTTTCAACTCTTTCTTCTGTTCTATTTAGGGGAGCTTAAAATTCTAAAATTCTGCTGGTTGATAGTCAGTTTATGAGAATCGGGAGAAACTCAGTTTTTGAACTTATGGTTTATAATTCATTTTCTGAATTTTACCATATATTCTCATAATTTAGGTGATAATTTGAACCGTTTAAGGAAACTGAAAATTATATGGAAAACTGCCGCAGCTAGAAAATCCTTCAAACATGCCCTTCGTGACACATTCAGCTCAGGCACATGTGTAGAAAGGAATAAGTTCATCTGAGGTCCCTTAACTTGTCAACGAATCCGATTTTCGTCCTTCAACCAGAAAACCAGATACAACGGGTTCCTCAACTATCAAAACCAGTGCAGATGAGGTCCCTCGACGGTTTTGAGGGTGGTTTTGGCTGACGTGGCGCCTACGTGGCAAATTTGACTTGGTCTTCATCTGATGTGGCATTGATGTGGCGCATACGTGGCAATTTGATCCGAAAAAATAATAAACTTCGTGGGACCCACATGTCAGTCTCACACATAAATTAATAAAAAAATGGTGGGGCCCACGTGGGCCCCACATGTCATTCTCAGCATCTCCCTCTTTTCAACTAGAGCCCCTCTTCTTCCTCCTCTCTCTCCCTTCTCCCATCCCCGAGGCGGCGGGCAGTGTCCGGGTGAGGGATGGCAGCTCGCGGCGGCCAGGAGAGGAGGGAGGCGGCGCGCGGCGGCCGGGAGAGGAGAGAGGCGGCGCGTGGCGGCCGGGCGAGGAGAGGCGACGCGCGGCGGCCCGGCGAGGAGGGAGGCGGCGCTCGGCGGCCCGGCGAGGAGAGGCGGCGCGCGGCGGCCGGGCGAGAAGGAAGGCGGTGCTCGGTGGCCCGGCGAGGAGGGAGGCGGCGCGCGGCGGCCGGGCGAGGACAAAGGCGGCGCTCGGCGGCCCGGCTAGAAGGGAGGCGGCGCTCGGCGGCCCGGCGAGGAGAGGTGGCGCGCGGCGGCCGGGCGAGAGAGGCGACGCACGGCGGCCTGGCGAGGAGCTCGGCGGTGCTCGGTGGCCCATCGAGGAGGGAGGCGGCGCGCGGCGGCCCGACGAGGAGAGGCGGCGCGCGGCGGCCCGGCGAGGAGAGGCGGCGCGCGGCGGCTGGGCGAGGAGAGGCGACGCGCGGCGGCCGGGCGAGGAGGGAGACGGCGCTCGGCTGCCCGGCTAGGAGGGAGGCGGCGCTCGGCGGCCCAGCGAGGAGAGGCGGCGCGCAGCGGCCGGGCGAGGAGAGGCGACGCGCGGCAGCCAGGCGAGGAGGGAGGCGGCGCTCGGCAGCCGGGCAACGAAGGGCAGCTTCGACCCGGATGTGACCATCGAGGACGTCGGCGGAGGCGGCCGGGCGAGGAGGGAGGCGGCGCGTGCGGCTACCGAGTGAGGAGGGGCGCCGTCGTCCGGCTAGGCATCGCGGACGGAGCGGCCGACGGAGTGTAGCTGTCGCGCTCGCCGGCGACCTCCTCCTCTGCCTCTTCCTCCTCCGGCAACCTCCGCCGCCGCGGCCTACTGCCGCTCCGCCCGCCCCTTCGCCCCGCCGCCGTTCCGTCCGCCGGCATGCTCCTGCCGCCGCTCCCTGCGAGGACGACTGGATGAGGGAGAGCGAAGAGGAAGAGAAAAAAGAGCCGGGAGGGACTTGTGGGGCCCACGTGGGCCCACCAATCTTTATTTTTTAGCTGACATGTGGGCCCACGTGGGCCCCACCATTCTTCATTTATGTGTGAGACTGACATGTGGGTCCCACAAAGTTTATTATTTTTCGGGATCAAATTGCCACGTATGCGCCACGTCAATGCCACATCAGATGAAGACCAAGTCAAATTTGCTACGTAGCGCCACGTCAGCCAAAACTACCCTCAAAACCACCGAGGGAGCTCATCTGCACTGGTTTTGATAGTTGAGGGACCCGTTGTATCTGGTTTTCCGGTTGAATGACGAAAATCGGATTCGTTGATAAATTAAGAGATCTTAGATGAACTTATTCCGTGTAGAAACGAACGGGGGCCTAAACTGGTGTCTGGTGTGGCCCATTAACACTTCAGTACTGTAGGTTCATTTACCGGAAAGCCGAACTCCAAAGTCAGAAAGCCCCCACGGATCATCCGTGGGCCCCACACGTCAGCCACACTGCAATCACCAGATCTCCCACCCCACGACCAGGAGTCGACCGTTGCTCGCCGTTGTGCCACCACGCGATTTCAAAATTTTTCAACTCGTCTCTTCTTCTTCTTCTTCTCCAAGCCGCCGCCTCGCATTAACTCACAGCTCCGAGAAACCATCCAGCCAAGCCATGGACGAGAGGGAGATGGCGGCGAGGAGAGCGCCGAGCGCCGCCACCACGCCACCGACCACCGCCACGCGCTGCTCCACCACCGCGTCCTCCTGCTCCTCGAACTCCAACCCCAGCGTGTCGGCGGCGGACGCCGCCGCCCACCATAGTCGTGCCGTGGGATGGGGTTGCGGGAGGAGGAGGGTGCTACTACCCGGGATGCCGCAAGGACGCCAACTGCGCGTGCGAGATGTGCCTCGCCAGCATCAACGCCACCAGGGACCTCCTCCCGCCGGAGGCCGCCTCCGCGCGGAGGTGGTTCGCCGCGGCGGCCAGGGACAGGAAGCCCGCTCCGCGCCCGCTCTTCGGCGGCGCCGACACGACGCCGCACGGCTCCTCCGTCACGGAGCCGTGGACGCCGCCGATGCGGTCCACCGCGAAGTCGAGGAGGCCCCGGCAGCAGCAGGAGGCGGCCGGCGGCGGCGGTGGCGGCGCCGGGAGGAAGACCCCCGGGGGATCGCATGACTGGGCCCTCTACACGGCCACGGTTCTTGGGTTCCTCCTCCTCCTCTGGGTGGACTCCGGCCTCGTCCCGGAGATCGCGGCGAGGGGCTTCGGCCCCAAGCTCTCGCCGGAGGCCGTGGCACGGCTGGCCACGGAGGCGCGCCTCGCGCCGGGCGGCCTGAGCCACAAGCTCCGCGCCCTGGAGCGGATGCTCGGGCAGCTCGTCGGCGGCGAGAAGGGGATCTCCAACTGCAGCTCGCACGATTCCGTCTGGCAATTCGAGCAGGTATTAACATTTTTTCCCTTTTTGGTTCCTGCGAGAATGTTGAATTCTTGATTTGGGTTAAAGAGATTTCCATCTCGATCTCGCGCAGAATGATCAGCGCGTGTTCTACTGGCGCTGCGCCGTGTACAAGTCGGCGGCGGAGGAGGTGACCGTGTGGGGGAGCCCACTCCGCACCTCCGGCCTCCTCCCCCGCGCGCTCCCGGCACGGCACCTCACCATCCTCTCCGGCAAGATCACCGAGGTAAACTAAGGGGGTGTTACTAGGATCTAAAGTTTTAGCGTGTCATATCAGATATTATATAGGATACTGCATGAGGTGTTCGGTACTAATAAAAATACTAATTACAGAATCCATAAGTAATTACGAAAAACTAATTAAAAAAACTAATTACGAAATGACATGTAATATAGTGGTTACAGTGACCTGAGTAGTACCCAAAAGTCCTGAGTTTAAATCTTCTATGGAGTGAATTTCAGATTGGATTGTTTGCGGGGCTAACTTCCCTATCTCAATGGCCGTATATATCCGGTTAGATATGGAGGCCGGGTAGAAAATACCCTTCTCTAAAAAAAAATCCATCAGTAAACCACGAGACGAATTTATTAAGCCTAACTAATTCGTTATTAGCAAATGTTTACTGTAGCACCACATTATCAATCATGGAGCAATTAGGCTTAAAAGATTCGTCTCGCAAAATAGTCACAATCTGTGCTATTAGTTTTTTTTAGCATATATTTAATACTTAATACATATATTCAAACATTCGATATGAATTGATATGAATTGTGATATGGTGAAAAATTCGATGTGAATTGTGATATGGTGAAAAATTTTAGGACGAGATGTAAACAGGGCATAACCGATACAAACTCCCAGAAAACCAATCTTGCATTTGCAGCTAGCTAGCTGAGCCCCGCGTCGTTGTTGCCATTTTTGCAGTGGTCCGACGGGAGGGTGTGGCCGACGGTGAGGGCGAGCAACGGCAGCTCGTGGAGCTACGGTGGGCGGAGCTCGCCGGCGGTGAGGCTGGAGGCCGAGACGTGGGTGGTGGAGTACCAGAGGAGCGTGGTGTTCGAGGGGACGCGGCTGATCCCCGCCGCGGCGGAGCTGGTGGCGTCCAGGTGCTCGGCGGTGGCGAGGCGGGCTCGCCAGAGGCTGGCCAGGCGACGGTTCCACGGCGGCGCCGGCGGGATTCAGGCGAACCCGACCTGACTTCAAAGACTCTGGCTTGAAGAAGGGTGGTGTTTAGGATGGTTTTTATTAGCTTTTGCTTTGTTCGTCTCATCTCCTGTGAGATTGATGGTGGAACACACTGTGTATCCGTTCTTTTGGTTGTATTGATGTGATGTTTAGTCAGATGAACGGGGTAAGAACTGCCGAATTATTCTGATTATCAAGATCATATCTTGATTATTACTCCCTCCATTCCAAAATAAACGCAGAGATGAGTTTCTGTGTCCAACTTTGATTTTCCGTCTTATTAAAAAAAATTATAATTAATATTTTATTGTTATTATATTATCAAACATGAATAATATTTTATATGTGACTTATTTTTTTTTAAAAAATAGACGAATGATTAAAGTTGAACACGAAAACTCATGGTTATGTTTATTTTGGGACGGAGGGAGTTGATCGATGGTACATACGTACAGTAGTGTTATCAAACTCGATTGGTAGTGTATTCTGAGAAAATACGTACGGTTCAAACTCGAATCCTTGCCACATAAACATAGTACTGTTCTTCATCCTCCCCTCTGTGTGGCCAGACGCCCAGACCCATCATTCGTCTCATGCCCAGGGTTCCTTTGTTTTGGTGTTAAAATGTCAGCCTTAGCGAGATGGTAGATTTCGTGAATTTCAAGAGAAATAAATTCAACGAATTTCAACCAAGAACAAAAAAGATTGGTTTGGGGAACTCTAAATTTCGGTCATGAAACATGAATGAAACTGTGCCGTCTGCTCAAACATCCATCTCTACATCTATCACATTTTCCAACCTTAACACGTTTGAGAAGAGGGCTGGCAAAGGTGGGGAAAATCCATTCACAATTCCTTGAAACAATTCAGGAGAGAACAAATATGGAGCTGAACTCAACGAGCGCAACAATGGAGTCAGGTGCAATGAGCCAATGACTCAGCACGATGATGCTGAAGATTCGTCTGACAGCATCGAGATTCCAGATGACCAGGAGTCCTAAATCAAGTGATACTCCCTCCGTCCCATAATATAAGTGATTTTAAGTTTTTACTTACACTGTTTGACCGCTCGTCTTATTTAAAAAAAATTTAGAATTATTATTTATTTTTTTTGACTTACTTTATTATCCAAAGTACTTTAAGTACAACTTTTCGTTTTTTATATTTGAATAATTTTTTTAATAAGACAAGTGGTCAAACAGTGCAAGCAAAAACTTAAAAACCCTTATATTATGGTACGGAGGGAGTATATTAATAGCCGCAACCAACAAATCAATCCTCAGGCTGCAGGCTGCTGCTTCGAGCGAGACCTGATGTCACCAGCTGATCTACTATTTCATCAGATTACTCAGCCACCGCAGATTTCATCAATCGCCGGGGTTCCTTCAGCTCCATGAATTCTTCAGTATTGCGATTCCAACAGGAATATCGCCTAATCTTACAACTGACAAGCAGTAATTACTGAAAGGAAAATTGCCTCCGTGCTGCGCTGCTGCTCATTCTAGTCAAAATCTGTAAATGCTTACCTCTCCAACATTGCTCTGGGATCACAGCAGCTGCAGCAGAAGCAACCTGTAATGTAAATTTACTTACACGACAGAAGAACACAAGGATAAACGACGCTGACAGTAGAACGATCACTTTAAGTACGGTAAAACTGGTACTGCTAAACGGTAAAACTGGTATTAGGGAGAGCGAAGGTTCCTAAAGGCATGTCCACGGATTACCGCGAGTTTCACGGTATTACTGGTTTAGTCCAAACCAGATGGGTTGGTAACAAACTCATACGACAGTACAACAAAGCAGGCACTCTCAGTTGGCAGTATCAGCAGGTAGCCCGAAATGCTCCTGAATGACTCCTGATGGCGTTTTCCCAAATCCATCAGCGATTCCCAGCATGACCTTGAGCTTCTCCTCTTCACTCTTCACTTGATCCACACGCTTCATAACATTGGTGATTAGTGTACTATATAGTGAACCATCATCATCAGCTAAGGGCATAGGGTCTGCAAGGACGGATCTTTCAGAATCAAGCTGACGATAAAGACTCAGGACATGATCCTTCTGGGAATAAAGCTTCTGCTCTGCCAGCTTGTACTCTGCTTCCTGAGATCTCTTCAGTTCTTTAAGAGCATGATCTATCGAATCTTCGAACCTGACAGACAGTGTGTGTTGATCCTCGGTAATGTAAGCTGGAAGATTTTCAACAGCCCTCTGCAAATCATTGTCAGCCAAATCAACATAATATGGAAACCCTGGAGGAGCATCCTCTTCTGGAGCTTGCTGGATCCCAAGCACTGTTACACCACCGGTAGCAGGGGAAACTTCTGCATGAGACATATGGAACTCAATTATGCACAATTATAGCAGCAAAGCAATACATAAAGCAACAACAGAAGTAAATCTGAGATCCAAATTGTTGTCAGTCCTCTATGGTTTTAATTGTGCAAAATTACAGACAACATGATTAGCAGCAGTATATCTATAGCAATGAAGCCATGGGCATGACAGGGGAGCTAGACTCCACATGTTACAAAAACTACCAAAACATCACTTACATTTTTCAAAATAAATGGTCTGTATGGAACAAATCGCAGATGGTTTTGACTAGTATGATCCAAATATCAGCATAATCTATAGAGTTTCCGTTCTGTCTAATAACATAAGAGGGCACCAAATATCTGGGCCATTGCAGCTAGGCTGGGCGCTGTTTGAGCAATGGATTGTCCTCTGGATATCTAGAGCAATATATTTGCCTAATATAGTTCTCTATGATCAGTTGCATTCAAAATTAAGTTACCTGCACTTGGAGTTGAGTTGATACCATTATCTTCCATTTTCCAAACTTCAGCAAGATCAACCCCACACTTTAGCTGCATATAGTTGTAAACCATCAGTGCATAGCCACAAACTACTTATAAGAGATCAAAAAGAAGATAAATGGTGACCAAAATGGAAGTTTCCACAAGTGGCTAAAAAAATAAAACTGACCATACCTTTGCCATTGCTGATCTCATAATGCTCTCCAAGCTTTTTGCTCTTGTTTGTCTTGAACCACGCACTAGGCATAAGCCAGTATTCAGGATAGGTTCAATGTCATCCCTTGATTGAAGAGATTGGCATATTTCCAAGAATTTTTCTACGTGCAGCATCAAGTTCGTTTTGTTATCACAACGTCTGCAACAATACTGCATGTCCAAGTCAATACATCCTCCAACTGTTCCAGCCATAAAAGTACGGAGAGCACAATCAAGGTGCCCAATATGCCCACATATTTTGTTCTCTTCTAGGACTGCCTCACACTTAATGTAGCTATAACCTCCAAAGGAATAGTCAACAACCCTGCGGCAGAAAACACAGCAGCACTCTCGGCAGAAATCAGGCATTTTGCAGCAGAGGTCACAATCCTGTGCCGGAGATGATTCAATGAATCCCTCTCTCTCAAGTTTACACAAGTTATTCCTGGCCTTGCATGGTCCAGCTGGATCAGCTTGCCTTGCATAAGGACAAAAGACCCTCCTCACTTCTCCACCTCCTGAAGACATTTTTGGTGTTAAAGAACAGCAAAAATACAAGGGAAAATCAACAAAGTAGCAGAAAACATGCAAAGGCAGTATATAGGATGCATTTTCTAACCCGTTAACACACAAAGGAAAGAACACACATCTCAAGTGAAGAAAAAAATCCCTTTGGCTACATGTTACAACCAAGGTATTGGATCAAACCTCACATCAATACCAGGTTAGATATGAATAAAAGTAAGACAAAATCAGTTTATATGCTACATATGAATTCCGAATGAGGCAAATGATCTATTTTCCTTTATCGGTGTTACGATTTGGGGAAAAACACCACTTGAATCAATGGAAAACACCACTTGATAGAAAAGAATGGAGCTTACTGTAACTTGACTCCAGAATATAGACGTAAAAACCAGCGTCAGTGTTACTCTCCGAAGGGGGAAGGAGATAGCGTTCATGGATCCGCCTCAATGAGTTGGTTCGCGCAAATGGATCCATCGGCACCACGATGAGGTAGAGGCAGAAGCAAGGATCAGATTGGCGGCTAGGGTTTAGGAGCAGAGAGTGCAAGAGGTAAGCTGTGTAGAACAACCTATATATACAGTGGCGGAGCCAGAAATGGGCTTTACCCAGGCTGGGCAAACAAACCATCCTGGTATGGGCCCTCTATACCTGTAAATTTTACTTTCTATAAAGGGTTACAAGGGTCTTTCAGGACCAGGCCTGGCTGAAGCCCGAGCAGCCCAGGGCCCGTTGTCGCTAATTTATGGATAAAATATGTGTGTTATACACAGGATAAACATTAAAATGTTCAAAGCGCATCCACCAAAAATAACAACCAAGTCTTGAAGCACTTCCCAGATTACACATGAACAAAAGTATTTTGTAAATAGATAGGATATCATTCTGGCTAAACAATATTGAGAACATAGTTTATTGGCTACACTATAGAGGCACTGTAACAGGAGATTTATCACATGATAACAGATATCGACATTGATGGTGCATAGGCACAAGAAAAATCAAAAGTGTGGTTAGTACACTGAGAATCTATTGCATTCTGAGAAGCACTGTTGCCTATCGACTTTATTATTTCCAATGTATACTTTTTCCATTTTTATTTCCAGTGTAACATGGCAGGTAACCTGTGATGTTTTCACATTTCTACACTAGATTATCCTGTTAGTTAGGAGGTATGCTAAGTGGTAGAGCTGAATAAAGTTATTGAAGAAGGTGCATCAAAGTACAAAACCAATCAAAGTGTTTATAACGATAAGGAATCGATGGCACAGACTGTGTCAAAAGAAAGTCTAAAAATGTGGATCGGGGATACATAGGGTAGAGTTCCAGTGATATGTTAGCTACTTAAAACATAAAAGATTCAAAATATGGAAGTTTATACAAAATAACAGTGAAAAAGGTAAGCCATACAAAAATCAGATTTTGATTACACGAGAAGGTCACTATTAGATAGAGGAAAGGAACACAGAAAGGTCCTCAGGCAGGTAGGCATTTTTAGTAAGTAATGTTGTATATTAATTACTTCAAGAGAATCAAATAGTAAGTCACAAAAAAATATAGTCTCCTATATGAAATGAATGTTTTTCCAAAAAGAAGGTCTAATCCTACATAAGAAGCGCCCAATACACACAATGAAATGAATGGTGTATGGCACTGGCTACTTGGTGAATATCTCTACAAATAAGCACCTGGTATTATATGTAGTCCAAGCCGCTAGTCACTACAGCGTCTGTAATGGTCTGCTATAGTATTCTAAACCGCACAGAATCCAATAGTCACCACAACTGCCAGTGAGCTGATGTCAGAGCCCAGTCTCTGGTCCGGTGGTTGTACAGCACCGCTAGGAAATACTGTAAAAGACAATCTTACATGGAAACAGCAACTAAAAGAACATAAAAGGCAACAGAAAGGTTTAACCTCTTTGGATACAGTGTCCTTTAGCAGGGATCTTCCAAATAAACATAGAAAAGAATGTGTTCGGATCCATATCTGGAAACTCTGTCTTGATAAATTCTTCAACCTTTAGTCTACTTGTGAATGATGTCTTTTTACCAGTAGCATCACGAAAACGTGAGGGCGGTGTAAGGTACCTGTTCACAGATGTATCCATAACACAAGTTAATAGTACTGCTAAAATTCATTTTCTAGACCGAACAACCATAGATAACTCAAACAATTTTGGTGGGGAAGGCCAGCGGCCTGTTGGTGGGAGGCTGTTTAACCTTGCCATCGACCCAGTTCAAGTCCTACCACTAGCATGAGTGTCCCTTCTCCTTAATGGAATGATAGAGCTACTGGCCCAGTTCTAAAAATAATAATGAATAATAGCATACGAGCCTTCCAACACACTAGAAGAATTCACCTACCAAACTTGGTCTGATTCTAATTAAGAATCAGTGTCCTGTGTTTATTTTCTTCTCCTTATAGCAAAAGTAAAAAACTTCAGATGGAAGCTATTTAGGCCTAGAAAACAGCATTACCTATCAAGCCAGTGGCCAGTTGCAGAAGCCCTGTTTCCCACTTTCCAGCTCCATTGATCTCCAGGACATGGCCAGTTTTCGGGAGCATAGGGCATACCTGTACCACATGAATTACCTTCAACTGGCATAGCACCATTCTCACTTGTGAACTTTTCTGATAGATCCTGCTCCTCAGCTATGTTAATTTCTGTTACCGCCTCGCTAGGGACCTGAAAGAAACAGGAATCTCATCAGTCAAGAACATATAGCCGAAATTTTACTCATGTACTGAACTCAGAGACTATTGCGCAGACTTGCATTCATTCTTTGATTTGGTCAAGTGAAAGAGACCAAAAGAACAGTTAGAACAATGGATTATCTCAATGCAGAGAAGCAATTGTGTACAGTGAAGTTTTGGCGAGATGCAATGGATTACATACAACCTTGCATGAATGAAATGATAGACAATTTGATGACAGCAGATGCACAAAATAACAAACAGAAATTGTACAGCGGTATGAGAACATGCAGCACGCAGGTAATAACAAAAAGCTCAAGGTACAATTTATCTTATTTGCATTTTTTTTTAAAAAAATGCATATGCACCTACTGAACAAAAGGATCTGGTTACCCTATTTTATCATAGACTACTTTGCATAGATTACTGTTGGGCCAAGTGTAGCTTGCAGCTGCGACCAAATAGTCCACGGAATAATTCTGACCAAGCTAGTAAAATACTGTGTTTATCACATGTAGGTTTATAGGGCTAAAGAAACACTGCATGCCACAATTTTGGTGACGAAACAAACACTTGCATAAGAAAGCATAACAAATAGTTAGAGGTGGAAAAATAAGGATTCAACCAATCACCCTACCAATTTTACTAATGCTAAACCCTCATTCAACGAAATGAAAACAAATCATGTCAGCAAAATAATTAATTATATGTCTCATATTTATTCAGTTTCAGAGATAGATACCTCGTTTTCATTCACCATTTCTTTCGAACTTTTGATAATAATGGGTGACACCAAAACATTTGTTGGTGTCCGTTGAGATTCCATGTCTTTCAAACTTTTGACAATGGGTGACACCAAACCATTTGTTGGTGTCCGTTGAGGTTTCTCCTTTGGTGGGTCTCTTCGCGCCTTTTTTGCCGGTGGACTCTTTGGGCTGCCAGAAGCTAGACATCTTTCTCTATCCTTACCGAATAGCTCTAGTAACCTATCGTAATGATCAATGGGCTTGTTGATCCATTTCCTGGCTTCCGGTTTCCTCTACAAGATCAAAGCAAAGAGTTCAAAACAGCTTGAGAAATTTCAGCAATGCTGATTGATTGACAACAAAAAATAAACAGACCTCGATGTACTCCCTCCAAACAGTTGGGTCAGCATAAAACTTCTTGTTCATCGCGCTCCACTTAAAGCCACTCTGGTTCTGGAAGAGGTTCTCGCATTCATGGAAGTTCTCCTTGATGGACTTGAGACGGTTCTTGATGTTTGACCTGTCGATGGCCACCCCGAACCTCTCGGCGACCCCGGAGATGATGCTATCGAAGGCCGCGGAGTGAAACCTCCCCTCGCCCCTGTTCCCGATCGCCTGCTGGTGCAGCAACGCGTCGATGAGATACTCGTTCATCTTCTCGGACCACACCACCGTCTCCCTGCCGCCCGGCCTGGGGCCTCCTCCCGCATTGCCGCCGCCGCTGCCGCTGCCGCTGCCGCTCGCGCCGGGGCTATACTTGCCTTTCTTCTTCACCATCTCCCCAGCCACAACGCCGCTCCCCCGCGAGCGCTCCGCCGCCGCCGCCTACACCGCACGGGCCGCAGCGGGCGCCGCGCAAACGAATTGACGAAATTGAATTGAACCCTCCACCCAATCCCCTCTCCTCGCCTTTGCTCCGAGCGATTGCGCGATCAAGCCATCTAGGGTTTACCTAACGAACGGATCCGAGATCAGCAATCGGCGAGACGAGGGGGGATGAGGAGGAAGGATTCAGGATTGGGTTGGTGCGATCTTACCAGCGAAGAAGCGTAGCGAGAGGTGGAGCAGCGTGGAGGAGGAGGAGGAGGGGAACGAACGAGCCAACGAACGCGACGCGAGAGAGAGAGAATGGGAGTAGCCGTATTCTCTCTCCGTTGGGTGGGGGTGGGGGAGGCTGGTGGTCAGGTCTACTGATCTCTACTCTACCAATATCATATACGGTGGGCGTATGTATGGAGTATGTGTATACGTAACGTACGTACGTAGACGGTGAGTTTGGCTAAAACTGGACACGAGTTAATGCTGGGATATGGGCCGGTTGGGCCTTGGCTGGACTTGGTCTGCCACATCGCGGTCCAGCTGGCACGGCGCGACCGCCACGTTGTACATGGAGAGGGTTTTTGGGTGTCGTGGAGGTTGAATCGGAGGACGACACGTAGAATTTATGATGTGGCAGTCTATGGTGGATTAGGTAAGTCTGAAAAGATATAGACCTTATCACATATCTATATTATTTTCTAAAAAATAATAATAATGGTAATGGTAATAATAAATAAACAAAAGGTCCAAACAATCTAATGGATCATTTCACATTTGATGTTGCTATAAGTTTCGGATTCCAATGAGTCAACATGGCATGACGTATGTTATAAAACCCTCGCATACGACAAAATATAGTTATCATAACTCTTCATCTTTTAACATAACAAATCACAATACCTTGTTTATTTGTGTTTAGGTAATTACATCTTTCTTTTTCCAATCCTTCTGTCCGGTATTAGCAACAAGTTTTCCCGCTAAAGGTGAGATCAAAATGTAGTTTTACTACTTTCTGAAAAACGACATAAATTATTTTTAAGTATAGCCGGACATATTAAAGACAATTGTTTTTATTTCATTGAACTTTTGTATAATATGGTAATAAACTAAGAATAAAGCACAATCATTTACATGGTCTATTATTGCCATATAACTTCTCCATAGTATTGCCACTTTATCACATCAGCGGTTACATTATATTAATTAAACTGTCATATGTGTTAAGCGTTATGTATATTTCAGTTATTTGAATAAACTCAATAGGGGCGGTTCATGTTTCTTGAGAGTTATGCATATTTCAGTTATTTGAATAAATCGAATAGGGGTGGTTCATGTTTCATGATCTCAGGTGAGGAGGACATTAATGATATGGGATGCTAAGGTTCATCTTCCATCATTATTTTTACCGAGATTCATATAAGACGTGTGTTATATATGTATAAAATTAAGGGGTTGCACCTCTCTACTAACAACAGAAAAATATAACGAGAAGATAAAACATCCCAAATTAAAGCAATTTAGGAAAAAGTATGATCAAGTTACCAACAGTCTGACAATACACTTTAAAATTCAGCCCTTCTAACCGAGTGTGGCAAGGCATGATAGGTATCAACCCCATTTGTTGTCTTGAATTTTAATTATATCTTAGATGAAGTGGAACTTGCTAACCGACAGAAGCTTGAAGCATATTTGCCATAAAGCGATTGGATGAGTAATGGTATAGCGTTCTTATATATAAGTGGATTTTATAATGTCTAACCCCGTTGGGTTTTATGTAGTTTTTTTTAGTCAAGAGAGAACTTTATTAATGACTAAATAGAGGGTTACATTCTTGATTTAACAAGTCTAGGATTGATGCGGGGGCGCACAGCCTCCATTCCCCACACGACCTAGTACTCGTTGCCATTTGTGCTAACACATGAGCAACCCTATTAGCTTGTCTCTTAATCTTGTGCACTTGCACCCGTTCGATACAATTTAGTTGGATTTCTATCATTAGAAAGAAGTGCATATCTCACACGTTGCATCTTGTATTTAGACATTAGATTCAAGGCTATACCTCACTCGATGTGTGTTACCATATTTTTAGGATTCAAAGTTGTTGGCAACTTTTTTGAACAAGTCACAAAATACGATCGAAACACCTAAACGTCATATGGTGACACGGAGTCGCCAACCACCTCGATCTAAACAAAGCTAAGGCTGCGTTCTTTTCAGTGGATTGGGAACTCCTTTCCTTTGCACGGAAAACGGAGCGGTCCATTAGCGCGTAATTAATTAAGTATTAGTTAATTTTTTTAAAAAAATGGATCAATATGATTTTTTTAAGCAACTTTCGTATAGAAACTTTTTGCAAAAATGCACTGTTTAGCAGTTTGAAAAGCATGCGCGCGGAACACGAGGAAGAGGGGTGGAACATTGAGCAAAGAACACAGCCTAAATCAAGATGAGTTTTGTAAAATTAAATCGGCCAGTGGAGCCGATTTAGATGAAACAGGGATAAACACCCGTCTCATGGGCAAATGAAAAGTTTACAAAAGGGTATTTGCACTCTTACAGCGAGGATAGATGACAGTTAGTTCAAACCGACAAAAATGGACAAAACTAGGCTAGAATTAGGCAGAAAGTATATGCGACATTGAAAAAGTGATTCAATTGGCTAATTGTGCTAGAAACAGATTGTGTGGTCAATCGAACTGGTCTTGACCCTTATAAAGAGGTTTATCTTGCTTTCTATAAGACCTCCTCCACGTCTAACTTAGGGTAGAGATCAATTAGGACTCGAAAAAATAGATTACCAAACAATGAAACTCGAGACTCAGACTCGGACTTAGCCGGTCTGACTAGTCACAAGTCGTCGGTCAGACTGGTCATGTGAAAGAAACGTACTTTTCAAACTCTGACAATGATTTCCTATTTCGTGTCAAGGTGTTAAATTTTTGGTGTTAACAAAAACCATCGTATCTTTTTCATTTACAGTAGAACTCAACTACGAGTACCAACTTATGACGAAAATAAAAGATTCATTTAAACGGGAATAAATTCGTGTGCAGTGGTGGGTAAGTGTAAAAAAAAAAAGCCAACAATCCCAAAAATTCACCTGAGCATTAACCTGCCAAGTCGTGCCAGGCCATACCGGCCAACATTACACGGACGCATACGTGCACAGGGCTTCCACGAGACCAGCCACGCAAGCACCTCCCCTGCATCACCCACCGTCCAGAACTCGATCGACGGCCCAGATAATCCCACGTCGTATGACTGCAAAAGGAAGAGGAGATAAAAACTCGAGAAATTAAGCCCTGAACCGGAAGGACCCCGAGAGGTCGTCGAATGGCAACTCCGCCTCCCTCGAACCCGACGACGACGCTCCGAGTCGGCTCTCACTGATCGCTTCTAGAAGCTTCCGGAAGGCTCCGACCCCCCGCCATGGCCGCGCCCTTCTTCTCCACGCCTTTCCAGCCCTACGTCTACCAGGTGGGGCTCCTCCGCTGCACGATCTGATCCTTCAATTTTTCCCTTCGCACACACGGTCTGGTCTTATCCCGGCGTGGATGTTAGGGCTAGATTCGAGCTCGTCGGGCTGGATCCGCCCGATCCGTAGCGTTTGGTTGCTGATTGGAATCCCCTCTGATCTAACCTGGTTTGAATCGTGTGTGTTGGTTCCAGAGCCAGGAAGGATCTGTGACGGCGTTCCAGATATCCGGCGGCGATGTGCAGGTCCTGCAGGTAGCTCCTGGTTATTCTTGTTTGCTAGCTCTTAATCTTCGATCCTTAAGAGGAATCGAACCCTGCTCATTCGGAATTGTTGTGTCGAAATGATATTTTAGGTGATGGTTAAGTCACAGGAAAAGTTGACCGTGAAACCAGGTACTCTCCAGTAACTTGATTGAACTTCTCTTTTGCAGCTGAAATATCTGCAGCTTGCCCGATTTATGAATACTCTTTGTTTCAGATGCTGAATTACCTGTTGTTTTTAAGGTTAACTTTGTAATAATTGGGATCAGTTGCAGAACTATAGATTACCACCATACTTTTAGTTGTATGTTATGATAAAACCAGATAAATCTAATATACATGAGTAGTTTCATTACTATCATGGTTTTGTAGTGCAATTTACTGTAACTTGTCCTGAAATTCCTAGTAAATTAAGGGGCTATGTGGGTTCCTTTACCTACCCAGGAGTACCTAAATTTGGATAAGGATTTACATGCTCATAGATAGGCAACGGAGCCAAACATACATTTATGCGGTTATTGTAATAGTAAATCCAAAACTGTTGTTGTAAACATTTCAAATTGTCTTCTTTAGATGAATGGCAGAGCTCCTGCCCTACTCCCTCGAAAAAAACATGTATGCAGTTGTTACTGCTAGTGCTTGTCATATGGCTTCTGTGAATCCTGTGATGTTCTTAGAGTTTGTTAGTGTGTAGCTTTCATCATTGTTGTATTCTTCAGGTACAATGTGCTACATGTCTGGTAATATTCAAACGGACAACAACTACTTGCCTGAAAATGATGGAGGTGTGTGGCAGTGGATTTTTGGGAAAAGCATAAGCAGCAGTGTTTTCTTCAACCCTGGCTCTGATGATGGATATGTTGGGATTTCTGCACCATTTCCTGGGAGAATACTGCCTGTTAGTATCTTTTTTGAAAATAGAGTCATTATGTCATTCAAATCCCTAGTATCATCTTTCACCTACTTGTAGCTTAGCTTTGACTCTCTGCACCATTACTTTACTTACTGTACAGAACTGCATATGAGCATATCGCTCATGGGTAATCATCACTGTTGTCCTCTTACAATTAGCAAGATTACATATCTTATTAGTGACAAACTGACAAATTTCCATCATTCTTCTATAATTATGATTCAGAATTTAGACTGTTGGAGGACTTGCTTCATTCTTTTGTTCAAAATTTCAAATGCACTCCCCAGCACTCAGTTGTTTCCAATCTGAACCATATGTTTTACCTATAGATAAAAAGGTCAACAGTTCATTGTGCATACATTAGAATTTGGTCCTGTAGCAATTAATAATGAGGTGTAATGTGCATACTAGCATGATAATAACATGTATGAGTTAATCTAGTAAGCTGCATGAGATGTAGGTTCTGGATGACTAGATGTGATATTATCATATTATTCCAGCAAACCATTGCCTTCCGTGAAAATGAATACCTGGTTCAGTGTTCATATAATTTACTCTATTAAATTTTATGGAAAGTGGTACTTATATTATTGACCAACCTGCTTTCTTAGTCATAAATGGAAAATGTTTATTATATTACAGATGGATCTAGCAAACTTTGGTGGAGAACTTCTTTGCCAGGTAAGTTATGTGCGAAGTTAGTTGTTTGGCTGAAAACAATCACAGAAACCTCATATTACCTTATTGTCCTTTCAGGCAGATGCTTTTCTCTGCTCAGTTAATGATGTGTCAGTCACAAGTACAGTTGAGCAGAGGCCGCGAAACATTGAAATTGGTGCAGAGGTAGGGTAATTAACTAATTATTTAGGTACTTTGGAGATCATGTGGGACCTGTTAGTTCTTTGCAAGCTAGTACTTGTTAACTTTTTGTTGGGAATTGAAAGATGTGCATTCCCTCTACAGGTGATCCTCAAACAGAAGCTTAGGGGTCAAGGGATGGCTTTCCTTGTTGGTGGTGGATCAGGTATAATTCATTTCACCCTTTGTGTCAGTTTCATGGACTGGAGATTGATTTTGGAATTTGAAACTGCAATACTGTTCTGATCTATGGAGTAAATACTAGAATATATTATTGTTCATACTATAATTAGGAGCTATGGTTCTGATGTTCTGTAAAATTTTTAGGATGCATTGAGGATATATACTATCTAGTGCTAAAGGAACATAATATGGTGCCACAGTTTATGCTGGCATGATTTTAATGTTGTCAACATTGGCAATACCTGCGGCACTATCCAATTCACTATATATTTACATATTCTGTCATAAGTTAGATAGTGAAGTATGAAATCTCCGATTTGTTTCAAATTAGCATGGAACCTTTTGAACTCATATCGTTTTTGTTTTGACATAAGCAAGTTATTTTTTAACCCTGGCCAACAAAGCCCCTAACTCTGGCAGATTTTGCTCTTCACTTTTGCTAGTCATGCAGAAAATTCTTGCCCCTCGTGAGGTGATTACAGTTGACGCTGCTTGTATTGTGGCTATGACAACCACCATCAACTTTCAGTTGAAAACCCCTAACCAACCGAGAAGAGTAGTCTTCAGTGTGAGTACATCCGTCCCCCCTACTGCCTATCAACTAAAGTTTCTTGTTGAAAATAACTAATTTCCTTACACTGATGAACCATCGGCTATGCAGGGGGGTAACCAGCTTACAGCATCTCTCACAGGACCAGGCGTGGTCTTCATACAGAGCCTACCCTTTCATCGGCTTTCACAACGCATTGCAAGGTAAGATATGCTGCAATGCATCATTTTGTACCACACCTAGCTCATCACCGACTGTACATAACTGAATTTATTCTTGTATTCTCAAGCAGTAGATCAGTGGCCGCTCCGAGCTTGAGGGACAATCCCAAGTTCTTCATCCAGATTGTCATGTTCTTCTTCCTCGCGTATGTCATGATTGTATCATCGATAATTCTGACAGATGTTTAGATGCTGCAACAAGCTACTAGTCGCGTATGTCTTAGAGAGTCATCAAATTGAAAGAGTAAAATCTCTTGCAAGTTTGCAACTCAAAGTGCATTCTCCACCACCGACCCCCTTGTAGATGTGTCTCACTGGCTCCGTTTCAAGTTGAAAAGAAGGCAGTGCACAACTGTTGTTAGAAAGTTAAATGCAAAGTTCAATGAATCGTTCTTTTGTAATACTTGCAGCGGCGAGATCTTGTTGGTCAATGAGTTCAATTTTCACAGCATATGGTGAATATACACTAAGGAGTGATTATATCTGCACTTATTGGCAGTACATATCGCTTAATAGATTGTCAGGATTATGTAACTAGTAATCCCTCCTTTTTTAATATATAAACATTTGTTAATGACTACACCCTCGTCTCAAAATATAAGGGTTTTTTAATATATAAATATTTGTTAATGACTGGGAATATAAATATTTGTTAATGACTGTTCCCTCAGTCCCAAACTATAAGAGATTTTAGATGAACCAAACCATAAGAGATTTTAGATGAATGTGACGTATATCTATAAGAGATTTTGGATAAATGGACGTATCTCAAGAGATTTTGGATGAATTTTTGGATGAATTGACGTATCTTAAGAGATTTTGGATGAATGAACGTATCTTAGTATTATGAATCTATACAGAAGTTTATATAGGAGTTTGTAGTACTAAAATACAAACCATTCATCCAAAATCTCTTACAAAATCTCTTATATAGTACTATTATATTTATATTTATATAATATATTTAGGGATGGAGGGAGTATATATGTATTATATTGCTGCTTCGTCTAGAAGATCGATCATTAGTGAGTAGTGATTGATGTCAAATATGCTCGTTGTAAACTATTAGCACTCTGGATTACGGTAACACATGCGACGACTCTCTTATACGGAGGAGAATGCTACACATAACAGTTTTATTCATAGTATATAGAACATATTAGCACGCACATTTTTGCTAAAAAATAAAACAAACGAAAAGAAAAACATACTTAGCACCGTAAACACATATGCTCGCTAAAAGCTACGGGTCGGGCGCTCCTGGTTGAGCCGCGCCGCCGCGGTCACCGCGTCCGCCACGCCGCCCGGCGTCGTCGCCATGTCCGGCCTGTTCCGCACCTCGGCCGACGGCACCCTCTCCGCGTCCTCCCTCGTCGCCGCCTTGTCCGCCGGCAGCTTGCCCCTCGCCCCCTGCGTGCACACACACACACACACCATCCAAGGTTAGCTATAGCTGCTGTACGGTCAAAAGAAAGCGGACTTGGCATCGCAGAGCGCGGCGGATGGCACCGTGAGGACGTCCCGGAGCTTGATCCTGTCCTCGTCGCGTGCCGCGGGCGCGGCGTTGTGGTCCGCCGCAGCCTGCGCCGCGGCGGCGACGCCTCCGGGGACGGTGACGGTGCGCCCCGTGGCGAGCATCTCGGCGGCCTGGATTGCCGCCGCGTCGCTCTGGTCCACCGGCTTACCCGCCGCCGCGGCGGTCGCGGCCGCCACTCCAGAGCGCGGCCGATCGTCACGGCGTCCTTGTCCAGAGAGCCGGACGGCTGGGTGGCCACCACCCGCGGCGGGGTGGCGAGCCGCGCCACCACCTGCCCGGCGACGGACTCGGTGACGACGCGGCGCCCGGGGAGCTCGGTCTCGGCGACGGCGACGGCGACGCCCTCGTCGGCGATGGCGCCGGTGACCTGCGCGCGCCCGACGTGCCCCGCCCGCGCGTTGATCGCCGCGGCGGACTGCATGGCGGCGGCGGGCCCGCCCTTCTGCGCCTCGCCGAGCACGGCCTCCTCGGCCGACTGCAGCTTCGCGGCGTCCCTGGGCGCCACGGGCTGCCCGGCCAGCTCGCCGGAGACGTCGAACACGTCGCCGTACATCACCGGCCGGGCCCCGCTGCCGTCGGGCGGCGGCCTCCTCGGCTGCCCCTGGCTCATGCTTGCGTCAAAAGAACACACGTGACGTGGCACGTTCTCGTGGCGCAAGTGCGCGTCGTGCCTCGGCGGCGAGGTGGCGCGCGGCGCGACGAGAGTATTTGTACGTGACAACGTGAGGGCGCGGGGCGAGAGACCGAGAGTACGTGGCGTCGTGGGGGGTTTACACCAGAGCGCGCCGGTGGCGGTCGAAAGGGGTAACCAGCGAGAGCCGAGAGGGTATGGGTATGGCAGATGCGGCGTGTTTTGATTCTAGCTGGTAGATTCGAGTGCTTGAGCCACTTCACGGACTGCATGCACAGTGAGCGTTGTGCTGCTGCGTTAGCTAGCTGAAAGAGATGGAGATGGGTTTTTCATCTTTTGCCTCGTCTTTTACATACCGCTTAAATAGATATATTTTTTAAAAAATAATTAATATAACATATATCATTTTATAAATATATATTATTTTTGAAGGAAAAAAATCTTTTTTAGAAGGAACATTTATAAATATATAATATCAAATAATACTGACGTACTTTTCTTATAATTTTAGAAGTTTAATTTGAAGTTGCATATATATGATAGATATATTTTATATTAATCTTTCTTATTATTCTTTTTAAAAAATTGATAACTGTTTAAGATAATACTCTAACCATTTTATATTAGAGGTCAATTATTCAAAGTTCTTTAGTTTAAATCAAATTCATAGAAAAATTAGCAAAATTTATAACACTGAATCTCAATAAATTTAACATTAAATATATTTTGATAAGTTTTAATCAAATTCATAGAAAAATTAGCAAAATTTATAACACTAAATCTCAATAAATTTATCATTAAATATATTTTGATAATATGTTTGTATTGTATTAAAAATATTTGTATATTTTTACTATAAACTTGATCAAACATAATTAAAGTTAAAGTTTAATAGTTTGACAAAGAAAAGTTATAAGATTTATAATATGAAAAGGTGAAGTATTTAGATAATATATGTAAAGAATAAGGAGGTATCCGTAAGCATAAAATGAGGAGATATCTTAAGGGATAAAACCACTTTCCCATTTTCTACGTGCAACGTGCCATGAAACAGATTTTTTGGAAGGCGCGCGCGAGACATGTTCGCAGCGGATTGGGATCGGGAGCGGTCGACACGACATGCCACCACCGTGTGCTGCCATGCCGAGTTCGGCGCTCCCAACCGCCTTTGTTTCGAGCGTGGCACGTCGTGCCGATCGGTCACACTGGTCTCGCTCTCGCAACAGGCAACATGGCTCGAGTAGCCAAGACGATTTATTAGCAGCCCTGTAATTCTCCATTTATTTACGATAAAAAAGTCTAATAATTCTTGCGTGTTAGTAATACTTGATCAAACGCATATTATTAATTATTTTATTGGATTCAAGCACTCGCTAAATTCGCTTAGCGTTCGGCAAACCGCGCGCTAATACATAATCAAACGCATGCTAAATTCGCTAGATTTGGTCGAACTGCTCGGCCAGAGCGGGTGTACATTCGTCGGCTGCCCGTGGCTGCGCGCTCCTCTTCGACTGGCACTCGGCGTCCTCCCGGTTGTGCTTCGCCGCCGCGGCGAGCGCCGCGCTCACACCGTAGGGCCTGGTCCCCTCGCCGGGGTCCTTCTCCACCTCCGCTCCCGCCGCCGCCGCCGCGTCCTCCGCCGTCACCGCCTTCTCCGTCGGCAGCATCGCCGTCGCGTTCCACTAGAAACGAGGCACAGATGCCATGGCCGAGTGAGATCATCAGGTGCAAATAGAAGGCGCGGCGGGTTGATCGATGCTGCACGAGACGTACCGCGAGGACGTCGCCGATGGTGATCGCCGTGTCCTCCGCGGGCGGCGCGGCACCGGCGTTGGCGTCCGCCGCCGCCTGCGCCTGCTCGGCGACGCCGCCGGGGACGACGCCCGCGCCCGCGCTCGCCTCCGCGGAGCTTATCGCCGCCGCGTCGGACCCGCGCACGGGCTGGTCCCCGACCGCCCTCGCCGCCGCCTCCAGCGCCTCGCCGATCTTGACCTTGCTGTCGTACGCGTCGTCGACCTCCACGACGGGGCCGCCGCAGTGCGCGGCCTGCCCCGAGGCGTCCGCCGGGGCGATGAGCCGCCGCTCGGCGTCGCCGTCGCCGCCATCAGGCTGTACTACCTGATGACCTTGGCATTCTCCTCCTCTTGGTCGTCGGGCTTGAACTTGCGCCATGGCTCTCGCCGCAGCGCGCGCCGTGCAATGCCGCAAGATTTTATACCGTGGTGGTGGCAGCCGGCGTGACATGGAGAAGAAGGACACGTGGAACTACGCACGTGTCAGGTCCTGGATGCGTTGGCTGCGCAAGCTCGGCACACGTGGGAGTGACGGTAGGAGCTAAGGCCGAGAGTTATTTTGGGTTAGGAAAGGGGTTTCATAAGGTTGCGATTTGAAGGCCATGCCCTGGGCTAATTCACTCCTATCTTACATCTTTTAACTTGAAGGTTGCAAGTCTTATTATTACTCACCGTAATGTCGTATATACTAAAACTAAAAACATCGATGAGGCTGTAGAGAATATGTGTATTGGACATCCACACGGTTTCTATATTCGACTAGAGATAGTAGGTGGACCGGATTCATATATTATATAATAGAGTAGAACTCAGTTGCTCAGTTGTTATGTTGCCTTGTATGTTAAGGCAGGTATAGAGCTCCGACCGAGTACTATCATATAATAGATTAGGAAACTAATGTTGTATCCGGCTAGGTTTCTCCTTTGTAATTCTTCCCCCAGCCTATATAAAAGGCAGGCTCCTCTGTAATCCTTCCCCCAACCTATATAAGACGAGCTGGGAGAGTCCTTCAAGAGCAAGAACACATATAACCACAATTAGATCGTCAGATCAATACTACACCCAGTAGATACAATCTCCAAACAAGAGTAGGGTCTTACGTACCTCTTATTGAGATGGTCTGAACCTGTCTAAATCCATCTAAATCCTTGTCTCCGCATCTATTTACTTTTAGGTCTCGTGTGCTACCCTCTTTCATCATTGCTGAATTCCAATTTCGACGGAGCCATTGATACTTCTTGCTATGACTTATGGGTAGATTTAGAGATAGACAAAAACTAAGAGATACATCATATTAGTGTGGGATAATCATATAATGAAATGCGCCGAATGGATCTTTAGTTTTGAGTGTAACTTCATCGCACTTGTTTATCCTTACTATGACCAATATGCTTTTTATGAAATAATGTTATGGGAAATAGATGTTGCTCTATTAAAAAAGGATTTTATCCAATTAATCAAATTCTAGTTTATTCATTCCTACTAGCATTTACTCACATGTTGCTCTATTAAAAAAGGATTTTAATCCGATTAATCAAATTCTAGTTTATTCATTCCTACTAGCATTTACTCACATGCTAGTAGGAATGAATAAACTAGAATTTGATTAATCGGATTAAAATCCTTTTTTAATAGAGCAACATCTATTTCCCATAACATTATTTCATAAAAAGCATATTGGTCATAGTAAGGATAAACAAGCACGATGACGTTACACTTAAAACTAAATGGTCATTTCATTTATACCGCTCCATGCGAGGATGACTTGGCATGCTCACATGGCACTTTTTTGGGTCCAAGGACTATATTAATCCAAATAATTAATTTAGAGGACTTGTTTGGACGATTTGAAACCTCAAGGACTAAACTGAGCCCGAAGCGAACTTCAGGGACCATATTAGTTATTCACAAAAAAAAAAGACAATGACTTCACTTCATTTACTTGCCGTATTTTCAATATTGATCAATTAGCAAATAATGCTTGTGCAACCACCAAAATAAAAAAAAATAGACAATAACTCCACTTCATTTACTTGCAGTATTTTCAATAGTGATGAACTAGCAAATAATGTTGGTGCAACCACCAAAACAAACAAAATAGATAATAACTCCACTTCATTTACCTGTAGTGCATTAGTGCATTCAATTTGAAAATAATGCTATGGCATCCAAAGAAAGAAACAAATCACAAAATAACTCCACATCATTTAATACATATCAATAATAAAATAATGCCAACATATACAAAGAAGGAAACAAATCAGTGAATAACTCCACCTCATTTAATACTATTATATCAATATGATCACCTAAAAAATAATGCGAGCACATCCAAAGATAGAAACGAATCAGACAATAAGTCATAACTCCAGTTCATTTACTCGTCTCTATCTCTTTCTCGCGCGCACGCCAAACAATAATACGTAAGGAAGAAGCAATCGTTAAATTGTCACACCGTTTTTAACTATTTACCGCTTCGAATACATGGACTACAAGGGTCACTCCCACCATCGGTTTCCAAGAGCTCAGGATCACATCCACATAGACATCGAACCTCAAGGCTGCAAAGCATCCAGCAGCCATAGTCCATACGAATATACGATCGATACGGCCCGTGAGAGTGAACAAACCAAAGAAAGAAAGTGGAGGGAAAACTTCAAATCCGCACCCCAAACATTCAAAAACCAAACAAGTTCCACCCCTCTTCCACCGGCTCTCCTCGCGCTTCGAAAACCCACACGAAAACCATCGGGGTGACGCTGACGCTGGTCAATGACCCGTGGGCCCCACCCCGCCAGTTACCACCGCGAAACCCGGCTCGCGAGACTCGCGTGTCATCCGGCCTCCTTCCCCCACACTTCACCATACCAACGCCGGAAACTGACAAGAGGCCGCAGCACGCAGCACGCAGCACGCAGCACAAACCCCCTCCCTCTCCCACCCCACCCCACCCCCAACCCTTCTCCGATTTAAAAGAAAAGAAGGTGAGAGAGAGAGAGGGATTAAAACCCAAACCAAACCAAAGCCGAGGGCGAGCACTCGAGGAGCCAAGCCTCTTCTCTCTCTCGTTTCGTCTCGTACTCTTGCTTCCCCCTCAATTCCCCCCCTCCTCGGACCCCCGCGTCGCCGAATTGGGCGCCTGATTCGGCGTCCCCCCGCCGCGCCGCGGCCGGATCGAGGCGCCGGAGGGTGCCGCTCCGGTTTGCTCCTGGGGTGGCGGTTGTGGGGGGTGTGAAGGAGCGGAGGTGGGGGGTGGAGTGGAGGGGGGAGGCTGCGTGGGGGCGGTTGCGGTGGCGAGGGGGTAGGGGTGCTCGGCCGCGCGATCTGCTGATCCGGGACATGCGTGAGGCGGGAGTGTTGTAGCAAGAGCCATTCCGCTGGATTTTGTATATTTTTGAGGGGGGTGAGTTGCTCGTCTCTGATTTTGTTTTCCCCTTTTTTGGAATCGTTGTTCTGCTCGGTGGTATAATCTATTCTGAGTTCATCACCCGCTCGGGTTTCCTTTTTAGTGGAGGAGGTTGTTAATTTTGGCCATTTCATGTGCTTTATGTTGCATTGCCCTAAGTTTCTTGATTAGGCATGTCCAAATCCAAAGTAGGGTTTAGGGTGGATCATGCTGTTCGAATCTAAGTTTAGATTTACATTTTTATGAGAAATTGATGACAACAAGTTAAGATTTTGATGAGTTTCTGGTCATGCACAGGGTGTTGGAATTGGAATGGGCCATAACGGTTCTAAGCGGAGTCCGGTGCCTGAGACCAAAGACGGAGCGATGAAGGATTTGGAGAAGTCTACCTCCTTGGAGGTGGACGACTCTACCATTGATGGTGATGTGGATCTTGGTGGAGGGCTCACTGTGGTGGGGAGGAAGAGGAAAGATGGAAGGGGTTCCGTGGATGAGAATGGGGCCTCGACAAAGAGGATTTTGAGGTCCAACTCCATGAAAATGCATGTGGATGCTGAGACAGCGGGGGGTGTGGCTTTGGATGTTTGCAAGGGTGACATTTTGGAGAAGAAACAGTGTGATATCATAGCAGAGGGTGATAGAGGAGGGGTGCTGACAGTTGATACTTGCAATGCTGAGGAAGATGGGGAAGTGACTGGTGCGGTAGTGAGCGATGCTGTGGTTGAGGCAGTTAGGTGTTCCGCAAATAATGTGGAAAGTTTGGGTCTTGCTGAGGTTGAAATTGCTGAAGGGAATGGGTTGGACGCTGACATTCAGGAATCTGATGGTGAGATGGATAAGGCAGATGACAAACTGTCTACACCTTCTGAGGAGCAGAATGAATCTGGAGGTGGAACAAGTGTTGGGGGCATCAATGACTCCCAGGAAAACAAGGGGGTTAATGGGCTTTGCCAGGGAGAGGTCATAGACCCATTGGCTACAGCAAATGGAGATGAATTGAGCATGGGTTTAAGCAGAAGCGCAAGTGGACGAGAATCTATTGAGCAAGAGGATACCGTTATGTGCGCTAGTGATGATCAGAAAGTTGAGAACCATTGCCAGTTTGACGATAAGCATAAAGAAGCTGAAATTTCTCAGATTGAGCTCGCAGTTGATAACCACATTATGCTAACTGATTGCACTAACCAAAAGAAGGGGATCGACAGTCCTGTGAATGAAACCAAGGGGGATTCAACTCCTGACATTGTTTTTATAAGGAGAAAATCAATAACTAGAAAAACATGTGAAGCGAAGCAGGTGAAATCTGAAGATGAGGTTCGATTTGAGAAGCGAGTTACAAGGTCTGCTACTGTTAGACAGAGAGAGGTTTCTGCTAGCATGTGCGTAGGTGCTACAAACGATGCTAACTTGGAAAGCAAAGAAAGGAAGGAAGATGTTCATCATTATACAAGGAAAGTGGGCAGCACCGTGCGCTCAAAAGTTCATCACACAGGGGTGGCAGAATGCGACACTGATACAAAGAAGAAACTAAAAGGAACTGTTACCACTCGAAGAAACTCAGATGCCATTGCTAATGATGATCCTCCAAGTATCACGCAGAACAAGGAATCAAAAACTCAGATGAAGATCGATATCAAGTCTCAACCACTCACAAGAAGGGGCAGCATAGTAAATAAAACAGAAGACGCAGTTTCTGGGTTAGACCAGAATATCTGTAGTTCAGCCATCACTGATAAAAATGATATAGAGCTCACAGATTCTGAAGGAGTTAAATCTGAGAACAAGGCCGCTGTGAGGAAGTCAATATTATCAGTTGGCGCTAAGATTGTTGCCAGTAAGAAGAGGATATTGGAATCAGGACTTGATAAAGCTAGTGGAGAGTCACCAGTTGCAATACCATCCCTAAAGAAGGCAAGAGATACATCCTCAGACACTGAGCTAGAGCAACCAAAAATGTCTTCTGGAAAGAAACTTACCAGAAATAACTGTGGCTCAAGTAAGAAAGGTATGTCGACAAGACGGCAACATCAGAGTCAAACAGCTAAGTTGAGTACATCTGTGAATTGCTCCAATAAAAACGAATCTAAGCTATCACAGAATGAATCCGATGATGATGGAACTGGCAGTGATACTTCCTTGAAGAACACTTGTGTAAGACGTACTCGAAGTGGTGGTGTTGTCCCCAAAAAACAAGAGGATTCTAGTGAATCTGAGGAACCGATCATACTGAGAAAAAATCATCAAAGAGGAAAATATTCTGGGAAAAGGGCTGGATCTACACCAAGGAAAGTTAAAGCTCCCAAAGGCAATAGAAAGGAAGTCAAGGCTTCCAGTTTGAAATCTTCGGGTCCAAGTGAGCAGATAAATACAGGAAGTCTTCGTGAAGAAAAACAAAAAATAAGTGATCATATCAAGGGCATGCTTCTAGATGCTGGTTGGACGATTGATCTGAGACCCAGGAATGGCAGAAATTACTTGGATTCTGTGTATATACCTCCTAGTGGTAAAGGATCTTACTGGTCTGTCACAAAAGCTTATGCTGTGTTCCTTGAAGGTATGGAATCTGAGAAGAAGGGCAGAGCTAAAGATCAGCGACCCTCAAAGAAATCTGTAGGTAGCCCTGGGAAAAGTCATGTTTCAGAGGAAATCCTTAGCAAATTAAAAAGAATAGTCGTTAATAAACGAAGAACCAAAGTAGAACTTCAGAAGTTGAAAAAGAGGAAACATGGTTTACTGAAAAAGCAGAAAACTTCCAAGCGCAACTCAAGGGGTTCCAAAAATAAAATTTCAAATTCTAGAAAGTTGCATTTAGGCAGCGAAAGAAAAAAGCGAGGTGGTTGTGCTCTACTTGCTCGTGGATCAAATAAGGATGGTGGAAGCAGCACTAACGGTTTTGTTCCATATGAATGGAAACGTACAGTTTTATCCTGGTTGATTGATCTTGATATTATTGATATCAATGCAAAACTGAAATGTGTGGATGAAACCCACTCAAAAGTTTTACTGGAAGGTGTAACCACTAGGGATGGAATTAACTGCAGATGCTGCAGCAAGGTCTTTACAGTACTTGAATTTGTGGCTCACGCTGGCGGGCCAGTCAGCAAACCTTATAGAAATGTTCTTGTAGATGGGCTGGACACTGACCTTTTGCATTGTCTCATTAATGCATGGGATAAGCAGTCTGATTCTGAAAGGCAGGCCTTTTTCCCTATTAGCACTGAGACTGATGACCCCAATGATGACACATGTGGTATTTGTGGTGATGGAGGCAATTTGATCTGCTGTGATGGATGTCCCTCAACATTCCACATGAGTTGTCTAGAACTTGAGGTATGCACTTAAATCGAGCAAGTAAATGCGGTCTATACTCTATAGAAGTCTATTTCCTTAATGCCACCCATATTTACTTTAGCAATACCTGTATGAAAATTCTTTCGAGTACATCAGTCTGTCTTTTACTTTTGTCTTGCCTGCTGTATCTATTATTTTTGTGGTTCCTGGATTAGAGGAGATGATTGAAATGCCTGATAACGTGATCTCCAATTTCTTTTTGCACTAAGGCTTGATAATTTGATGCAATGTTTTCTAATGGATATAAACCTCTTATTTTCAGGCTCTTCCATCTGATGATTGGCGTTGTGCTAAGTGCTCCTGTAAATTTTGTCAGGAACATTCAAGGCAGGATGCTCAAGACATTGCTGAGGTTGACTCTTCACTCTGTACTTGTTCCCAGTGCGAAGAAAAATGTATGTAATCTCTGCTTGTACTCCCTTTTATAGCGTGTCAGTACTTTAGATACATGCACAATTTGTTTAGCTATTGATTAACTTCACTGAAATATCGTGATTGCCAATCATTTGTTTTTTTGACACAATGTTTTTGATTTCTTCACAATGATTATGTCTGTAGATCACCCAGGTTGCTCTCCTGAGACTACTAACACATCCAATGTCTCCAGTCAGGCATGCGATTTATTCTGCCAACAAAGTTGCAGACTGGTAATACTAATAAAAAAATTGTTCCTTTTCATTCCTAGTTTCGCCGAGCATGATTTCAGAACTGGTTGTTGTAGTTTCAGCTAAGTTAGGGTAGGCTAGATATGAAATCCAAGTCAAACCACACGAACCAAAAGATTGAACTTAAAAGTAAGGTGCCAAAAAATAATAAGAACAAAACTCACCTGTTAAATATCTGCAGTGCATTAGGGTTTATGCTGCCACCTTTATTCGTCAGTTTTATTGTTTCCTTTTGTGTCCAAGTAGCTCTACTTGATAAGCAACTGACATTGTGTAAAGCAATATAGATATGTAATTTCACCAAAATCATTAACATTTAATTCTCCTTTAGTTTTTTTTCTGTATCTTAATATTCCCTACATGGTGTCTGTTTACTATTTGAAGTACACGGGTCGTTATTTGTTATGAATTTCTGTACCAAGTGATGTTTTAGGATGGTGTGCTACTGAACTTATTAGTTTTCAATTAGATTTCTGGGCGGCAATGATATCTATGGAACTGTCAACAGTGCTCTCATGCAGTCATTAAGATATATCTATAGTTTATTTTCCTGTGATATTCATTATAGGGGAAAGGTAATGCACTTTGGATGATGAGGGTAACTAAAAAGAATCATATTTTACAATGAAGTGACTATAAATAATATGTTTACTATAATGCATGGAACCAATTCTTTTTTGTATCCCTTTAGTATGCTTTTTTGCCATTTAAATCTAATCACATAACACATATTAAGTTACTGTGTTCATCTTGTATTTGAACTCGTTTAGTGACACGTGATAACTTTGTCTTTTTATTATCCTACTGGTAAAATATTATGAACTTATATCCCCTCCCTCAAACCTCACTCCACCCATGGAGTTACTAAGAGTGATTTACAGGATCTGAAATGACATTTATGTGATGCAGCTGTTTGAGGGATTGCGTAATCTTCTTGCTGTGAAGAAGGATCTTGAACCAGAATTTTCATGCAGAATTATTCAGCGTATTCATGAAAATGTACCAGAAACAGTTGTTGCTTTGGATGAGAGGGTTGAGTGTAACTCCAAGATTGCAGTTGCTCTTTCGTTAATGGATGAGTGCTTTCTTCCGATTGTTGACCAAAGAACTGGCATCAACTTGATACGTAATGTTGTGTACAACTGTGGGTATGCACCACTCTTTCTACACTGCTCACATTACTCCATGCAATTTTGAGGTTATCTTGTGAAACCTCTGTGATGTTGATATTGTTTTCTCTTTGTAACTCTTTGCGCGCACTTCCCCTCATTTCTTCCTCTCTGCTTTTGGTGAGTGGGTCTATGGTGGGAGTTTATCTTACATTATTGCTATAGATTCAATCTGGTGACGGCACCAGCATATGATACTACGAATGGGATAATTTAGGCTGATTTGCTAGAACATCTGCAAATTCATTTAGAACTGAGTGCATTTGCAAGTAACCATGCTGACTATGTATGCAATTAGTGCACATATCACCACCAGTGCTTATATGACACTGTTCACTGTTGTCCTGCAAATTTCTGAAGATAATTTTGTGTCGATCTAGTTCACTGCATGACTCTTTAATGAGCCTTTTGGCGATCCTGAGTTTTGGATCTGGTGTATGCATCAGCTCAATGTGGGAATTTTGAGCTTTTGGCATATTTCCTAATATAATAGTATGCTACTGTAGCCAAGTAAAAGTTTATGGAAGCCTTAACATTGTTTCCTCCATCTTCAATGCATGATATGGTATAATCAAATGTTTTTTAACTCAAGAGTGGTAGATGAGTATTCAATCACTGTATATATGCTTATGTGGATTGTGGCCTTATGTGAGATTTAACTAATCAAAATAAACATATTTATGCATCTAAAGGTGTATATGCTAAATCTAAACTATATATGACCAAAACAACAGAAAAGTCCCTACCCACTGAAGCATCAGCTATATGTGCTCCATATAAAAAAGGTATCCAAATGAAACCATGTGATTAATGCTAGTAAGGAAAATAAATCCGTAGTAGCTCACGGTGAGTGTTTTTTATGATTGACCTGTGGATCTACCAGCTATTGCTAGTTTTAACTGAACACGTATGTGATACTGCGACTTGTTTGGTTTCTGTTTAGTATACACTGTATCAACCTTCTAGTTCACGTTTTGCTGATTTACTGGACTACGTTATTAATTTTATGATTTTTAGTTGACATCGGATGAAGTGGCCATGATATATTTAATAGTTGCAGAATTTCTTCTGTGTTTGACAAGTTGAAATGGAAATTTTATTCCTTGAAGGATATTTGATTGCCATCCTGTTTTTGCCTATGTGTAGGTCAAATTTTGTTCGGATGGACTTCCATGGGTTTTATATCTTTGTTTTGGAACGTGGAGATGAAATAATAGCCGCAGCATCGGTCAGGTGAGTTGCCTTCCTCTTGCCCTTTTTGGATGCTTTGTCCTGTGTATATATTTCATCTAGATTGAACTCTGTGCTATTCAAAAATAACATAGATGCATGCCATCACTAGTTCTCCGCATATACTGATCATGGTCTAGTGCATAGCTGAGTTGTTTTGTTTCAGTTGCAAGGTTGCAAGTACTGCAAGTGCTTTGATTGCAGTGCACACGCACTAATTGCAATCAATTGTATACAGTCATTGTGCCTTTTCTTTGCCTGAACTCTCTAATGAAATAGGCTTGCTATGGTTACTTTTATGTAATGTTTTTCCCAATGAATCACTGGGCACTAATAAGATTTTCTATTTGGTCTCTTATCCTGAAACAGAATACATGGAACCAAGTTAGCAGAGATGCCATTCATTGGTACTCGGAATATGTATCGGCGTCAAGGGATGTGCCGCAGACTGCTAGATGGAATTGAAATGGTATATTGATCTGAGCCCAAATCTAGGCATGATTCATGGTGATTATATAGGACAACTGTTTATTGCAGAAATCCTATTTGCATTGTGTCTAGTTTCAAGACATTGAGGCACTGCTCAAAACCTGACTTCTTAATTTATGCAACGTTTTTGTCGCTAGCTGAAATATGTGACAAAAGTAGGAACAATAACAGACTCTAGCTTGTAAATTGTAGTGCTCTGATGTGGTTCTGACTACTTCAGGCATGCTATAATTGGTCTTTACAAAATAGCATCTTAGATAGTATTTTTCTATATGGTATAATTTGTAATACATATGTCGGATGATACATTGGCCTTTGTATTACATCTCTGAAGAGAATAAGTAAACTAGCTTGCCTGTCTGCGTACCTCATTGATAATAGTTTATATATGGGCTTACTTCATTTTGCTTGTTTGAGCATTTGTTATGTACTGTGTGTACTAACGTATTCTGATATTTACACTTCAGATCCTCAGCTCCCTCAATGTTGAGAAGTTGATAATTCCAGCTATCGCTGAACTTGTGGACACCTGGACATCTAAATTTGGATTTAGTTCACTTGATGTTTCTGAAAAGCAAGAAGTCAAGTCTACCAGCATGTTAGTTTTTCCTGGAACAGGTCTTCTTCAAAAGCCATTGCTAAAGAAAACTTCACCTGGGGAAAATTCAAGCTCTCAAGAAGGTCAGCACATAAAATTTAACCCTCATATATCAATGAGTTATTCTCCTCCCCCTTTTATTTAATGGTGAATGGCCATTTGTGCAGTTGATGGTGTTTTCTCTGAGCTCGAGTCTGGGAAAACTTCCAATGTGGCCAATGAAGACTCTCTTTGTTCTGCAAATGCTGAGACTCAAGGTTCGGCTGCCCCATGTTATGGGGACAACAGCAAAGATGCTAGTGCTTGCAATGGTAATGTTTCACAATAATCCATGTAATGTTACTCCATGTTCTCTTTTCCTTTTCATGGCATGACCCATAAATTGAAAACTCAGAATACCCACTTGTTTTGCAAAACATGTCATGACATCTTCTACAAATCTTTGAAGAACTTGAACCGACATACTGGGTTTCTTGTTGTTTGAGAAGATAGGAATGCATTACATGATTGATTAATGACATGAACAATAGGCTACAAACTTATGTTAGTGGTTCTTAGAGAACAACGCATACATTTGAATTCTATGATTTCAATATCGTTATGTTTGTCTAACTATTTTGAATATCTTTTGCAGATTGACATGCTTCCTTTGCATTATTTTGTCCCTGTCAAAAGGTGCACCCTGGTAGTTTCAAGCATTGACAGATACTATTGAGGACATGAAGCACACCGATCCTTCATTGTTACTATTATTCTCTTTTGACTCGGCATGCGGTTCGTCGGTTGGCAGAAGTAGCCTGGATAGAGAGGGCGAGTTTTTGAAGATCCCTTGCAGAGCAGCAGCACCTCGGTTCTGCTCAATATTGATGATTCAATTGACTCTTTGGTTTCGGTTTGACTTGAAACCAGCCTGTGCAGTGTTGGACTCCGATCACCTAACTTTAAGTGGTTTACCTTTACCTGTAAAGTCAGCATGTAGAACTGAGATGATAGTTTTATTCCGTGTTTTTTTTTTCTGGATGGTTAACTTAGTACCAAAGGCCAACGTGTGCCGCAAAATCTTCGTACATGTTTCTTTACCTGCTATGTGACAGTAGCTTTGTTTTTGCTAGCCCATTTTTTTGCAGCCAGATCTCATCTGTAAGACACTAATGCATGGGCAAGCAGAAAAAAAATCTCAGATATGCCACCTGTTCTCATGTTGGAAGTAAATCTGATAATGTTATGGCATCTATCCTCGTGTTCATGCAGATGCAAGGTGCTTTTGTTCGCTGAATCGAACTACTGATCAGGTGAGATGTGGTCAAAGATCGCAAGGTTATAATCACTCTGGAAAGCATTTACTTGTAATCATATGTTCTATCTGCTCTTTTCTGTCTTTGCCAATGATCTTTTCGCAGGCAAAGTGAAGGCTGGCTACAATGCAATTATCACTCGTTGATTGTTGGCAGATAGTACTTTTTTTTTCTGACAGAAGAAAATAAATCTCTACAGAAAGGCGTCTGCAGTGTTGAGGTTGGCGAGGATCTTGTCCTTGACATCTTTGGGCAGCGAGGCGAATGGCCCTGCCTTGGAGTAGAACTCCGCCAGTGATCTGATGGCCTTCTCCAGCGCAACGTATGACTCCTGGATGAGCAGGCAAACAATTTTGTTAACAAATCGTCAAGTAAGCAACCCAGTTATGTTCTGATGTTTGCAAAATTGCAACTAAAAAAATCATGCCATCTCCTGTTCCCCAGGTGAGTGAACTTGAGTTCAAACTTGCTTTGAATTTTTTTCATGATCGTTTACTTGTGTGTTAATTTTCATATTTATTTTAATTTGATCGGTGTAACTCACTTCAAGCCTCCTTTGAAATATACTTCTCCGTCCTGATTCAGGGTTCAAAATTTGTCGCCAAATGTAAGGGGTTTTGGACGGAGGTAGTTTGAATTTTGGAGGATTTTCATTAGAATTAAACTATGGAGCTAGAAGATAAATCATGGGCTATATGTGTATCCATAAAATACTACGGGTAAGTAACGATAAGCAAATGGACGTAGGTGAGGATTCAGCCTTCCCTACTGACAATAAAACCATTAAAACCATGAGAGTTTCCTAGAGCTCTTATTAATTTCTTTTTTTGAAGTGAGAGCTATAGCTTTGTCTATATTTCTTCCTAGATCCATCACTTCCTGGGTGTGTGAATGTGGTTAGCAGCGTTGCAAAAATAGGGGGAAAATTGGCATTATTACAGCCGAATGATAACGCTGAGATGCGCGAACCAAACCTCAGCAGCGACGGCTTGCTGGCCTCGCCAGCCGCCGAGGAACTCCCGGATGGACTCCTTGGCGGCGTCGGCGCCTCGCCGGAACTTGGCCACGTCGCCGCCGTCGTCCTCCCCCAGCGACTCCCGGAGCGTCCGCACCACCTCCCTCGCCGCCTTCAGGTACGCCTTGGGCAACACCTTCCCCGACTTGGTCCTCTCGTTCGGGTCAAATATCGATTTGATCGCCCCGACCACCCCCTCCCCCTCGCCGCCGCCGCCTTCCTCCGTCGCCCTGGCGCGCCCCGCCGTGCCGGAGCCCACGACGACGATGGCGGCGGCCAGCAGCGCCCTCCTCGTCGTCACCGCCAGCCGCGCTCCGCCTGCACTGTTTGCGACACACACAATCACGCAGGAATCAGAGTTAAGCTGTGGATTAACCGCGAGAGACGAAAATCGAAGGCGGCGGCGATAAGTTACGGATGTGCTGCTGCTGCTGCTGCTTGCTCTCGGCGTCTCTCCGCTGCTTCGGCGACGGCGAAGGCGGCGACGAACAGCAGTAGCACCGGCTGGCCATCAGCGACATGGGGCCATGAGGAGGAGGAGACGGCATTGCACGCATGCGATGCTACTCCGGCTGCGACATGCACGCGAGGGGCGATCGGTGGTGGTGGCCGAGATGGGAGAGGTGGGCGAGGAGAGATTGGTGGTGAGCTCGAGCACGAGCACAGCCACCTTATCTCATATCTGCAAGTAGCTTCAGGGAGGAGGAGCAGGAGGGAGGCGATGCGAGTTGGAGAGACTTGGGAGTTTGGCGCGAGAAGACGACCCGGCCCGCGAGGGATTTCCCTCGCAAATTGAGTGGGCTTTTCTTTGGAGGCCCAGAATTTGTTGGAAATGGGACGACGCAGCAAATTCTCACTAGCCAGAAAATATGCAAAATCTGCTACTCCAAAGAAGTATTATCCTAACATGAAAAATTCCCTTATTTTGTGTGTGTCGGTGAGAAGTTTGAAGTTTGAACGCAGGGAATTCAAGGAGATTCGACAAAATCTGCCATTGGACCAACATAAAGATATGTGCTTTCTTCCAGGTCTTAAATCTGCAGCCTCTCTCTTGTTTTCTCCCCCCCCCCTCCCCCTCTCCATCGATCCGCCATTACCTGGCTTGGACAGATAGTCATAGAGCGATACTTCTAGTAGTTTTTTTTAATCCTCCCTAACCACTTCGATGTATGAGTAAACTCCGTACAACAGATCACGACTTTGTAATCCCCAATGGTGATGGGATGATGTCATTGCTTACATTTGCACGAGCTACCAACCAACCAGCACTATCTGCGTGTGCTCTGAGCTCTTTTGTGTTGTTTCTGCAGTCTGCAACGAGGTCCACTTGAGCATCAGAATTCAGAACGGATGACCCCCTGTTTGCCGCACACAGAAAGAACGCACGGCTCGATCGAGCAGAGCCCTTCCTCTCCACCGGGCAATTTTCTGCGAGATTTTCGAAGGTTCTTCGCAATATTTTTTATAGCTAAACACGAGAATACGATATCACAGCTGGGTTAGGAAGCAGTTGAGAGAACTGAATGTTTTCTCATGTTTCATAAATTAGGCTTCGATTATTTTTTAAACCTTTGACCTACTGTTACAAGTAACAATATAATCAAGCTGTCAACGAATAGCGAAGTGAGCGTAGCTCAGTCGATTAGGTTTCTTATGGTGGAATCAGTTCACCCGTATTTAAATTCTAGATTTGAGACGAGTGCTTACATATACAGCTATTTATTTTTCCAGCGATAGATGGCGTACCTATAAACAACGAGACGTCCATAGTGACTTCATCAATCTCATGATATGCTGGCCTAATCTTCCAAATATGCTCATTATTGTCGATAACGAGGCATCTGTGATGATTTCGTCAATCTCAAGATATGCCAGCCCAATTTTTCGAAAGTGCTCATTGTGGACATCTTTGTTTGTACCGTGTTTCTAAACAAAATTGCAACAAACCTTACGGGATTTGGGAGGAGGTGGGTTCCGTCAAATGTACACGTACCGGGTTAACTGTTAGTGGGGATTGTCTGCAATATTGCACTTGTAGGGATCCAACATGTCAGTGGCAGCTACTGTAAGTGCAGCACTGCAGATAATTCACGTCCGTTATCTGCACATCATACATGCAAATGCTGTTTTAGAAAAGAATAGTTTTTCTCTGTTTATCTGGAAACTGAACAAATTTATGCAAATTCCTATGGAATCTTGAGTGCCTGTTCACTTTGATGCCATTTGTCAACGTTTGATGTCGCGATTCCGGTATTTGCATGGTATGGGGATCGTTGGTCCTAGGATATATGCGAGACTTAGGTAAAAGAGACGGAGACAAGGATTTTTATACAGGTTCGGGCCCCTGAATTGTTAGGTAATAATCCTACATCCTGTTGGCCGAAGCCGGTGTTGCTCTTTATTCATCTAGATCACACAAGTACAATATTTGGGGTAGCCTATCAAACTGTTGTCGACATGGCGATCTGAAGTTCTGACTCATAGTCGACAACAGGGTAGCCTTCCTTCTCGAATCCATATCCGGCGAGATCAGAGACAGCGCTATATCTCTCCTGACGATATTCGTAGGCACCGTAGGGGACTAGCCATGTCTATCTCTGAAGTCGATATCCGGCGTCTTGTCTTGGCGTATGTTGGCTTATATGTTGATCTTGTGTCTTAACCTATTGTTCCGTGTCCCCTCTCCTCCTAGGGGGCCTTGTATTTATACCCATAGTTGTCCCCTTATCCGAGTAGAACTAGGGAAACCAATATGGATATAATCCGAGTAGTCCTTGTCGTTTTTATGTAGAACCCTATTCATCATTCCTTATGCGGAACTCCTCCTATATCCGAAGTTTGTTTCCGTATAGGACATGATATGTGGTAGGTCCTGTCGAGATTTAGTCAACTACTATTAGGTATATGGTATCCATAACCCTGACATCATTTTTAACCATACCTTTTTTTTTGTAAAGTTGCCAAAATTTTGGCTACGTTTAGTTTATTGCCAATTTTAATAAGTACATATAAAATCTTGCCAAAATTTTGGCAACTCTACCAAAATTTGACAATGCCAAAACTTGGTATGGTTTAAAATGGTAACAAAGTGAACCATCCCTGAATATCGTCTTAACCTCTTTTAACATTTGTTTAAAGAAATAATAGTATGACCTGCGAGTACCGTGACATATATACAAAAATATTTTCTGAGCGAGAGGAGATACAGGGACTAGTGACAACAACTGACAACTGACAAGTGGAGCAGCACTACATAAAAAGGGCAGGAGGGGATGATGCGGGCGCTACAAAGTGCTTCACATCTTTGCCTCGTTCGTCCTCCGGTTTTCTCCGCAGTTTCTTGATCCATCCGCCTTTCCTCTCGCAGCCGTCGGCGGGGGGAGTGGTTAGTTGGTTACTGGTTAGTACTCCATCGGTAAAAAAATCCCTCCTTTTCATATCTTTTTTTCGCTTCCAATCTTGCGCAATTCGGGACCTTTCCTGCCATTTCGTTCTGTCCAAATTCAGAACATTGATACGGTTGTTTGGTTGTTTTCTCCCCCTTTTCTGTGTCTGTACACTGCTGTTCGTCGGTTGATTCTTGTGTGAGTTGTGAATTTTGGCAATTGAAGAATAAGACCTTGATGTGTTTGCACGCCTATGCTGTTGTTATCCGTGTCCATGCGAGTGAAATGATCCGCTGAATTTTTGGGTAGATCTGAACTTGGTACCTTGAATCCAGTAGCATTTGGTGATCGGCGCGGGGATTAGGGTTTACCGTTCAGAGGGGACGCGGATATTTACCGTTGTGCTCCAAAATTTCACTGATTGTTTTGGGCTCACCAACCTTTTGCTTTCTTGCAGGCTTGCAGAGTTTTCAGAGAGATTTAGGCAATGGCGGAATCAGGCCAATCGATTGCGAGTGATGTGACTGCAGTATGTAGACAAAATTCGCCCTTTTTATGCTTGGGACTAGCTGAATTGTGCTTTAATTCGCCTTTAGTGATGCTGATTTTCTTTGGTGCTCGTTTTGGGATGTCAGCTGATCGGCAATACTCCCCTGGTGTACCTGAACAAGGTGGTGGATGGATGTGAGGCCCAAATCGCTGCCAAGCTTGAGATCATGGAGCCCTGCTCCAGTGTCAAGGATAGGTATCTAAAGTACCCCAGTCTGTCCCTCCTGCTGATAGTTTTGCGCTTTACTTATTTTTATTCTGGTGGCCATGGTTTGCAGGATTGGTTATAGCATGATTACAGATGCAGAAGAGAAGGGTCTCATTACTCCAGGAAAGGTGAGACACTGAGACCTGAAAGTATAAATCAACTCTCAGATTAGAATATGATGGAGTCACTTTGCTTATTTGTGACTAAGAACTCCTACCAATAAAATCTACTCCCTCTAGTCAAACATATTTGATTGGAGAGAGTAGCGTACCATTAGAAGATTAATGTCTCAGACTTCTCATTTAAGGAAAATAAGATGTTTTGGTCTCACCATCCCTCGTCTAGATTCACTAACATCCATATGAATTTGAACATATATATAAAGCTCATACATAAATCTATTCAAAACCTAAAACATCTTATAATATGAAACAGAGGAATGGTGATGTCATGGTTGGTAAATTAATACAAGCGTGCGTGTGTATCTGACCTTTTATTTTTTACTGGAATACATCTGACTGTATTGTCTGATCGATCCTCCCTTTCTTATAGAGTGTTTTGATTGAGCCTACTAGTGGAAATACTGGTATTGGCCTTGCTTTCATGGCTGCTGCCAAGGGTTATAAGCTAATCCTGACAATGCCAGCATCCATGAGCATGGAAAGGAGGATCATTCTTAAGGCCTTCGGTGCCGAGTTGGTCCTTACCGATCCACTTCTGGGCATGAAAGGTGCAATCCAGAAGGCAGATGAGCTGGCAGCAAAGATGCCTAACTCTTACATTCTCCAGCAGTTTGAGAACCCTGCAAACCCAAAGGTGCTAAATTGCTAATATATTATTATCCTTGCTAGAAAAGCACAATAGTTTAATTACTGTTTTGTTTTACTGGACTATGCTCAGATCCACTATGAGACAACTGGACCTGAGATTTGGAAGGCCACTGCTGGGAAAGTTGATATCCTTGTCTCTGGCATTGGAACCGGTGGTACAGTAACCGGAACAGGAAAGTACCTCAAGGAGCAGAACCCTGAGATCAAGGTAACTTATATACTCCCTCCGTCCCATAATATAAGGGATTTTAAGTTTTTGCTTGCACGGTTTGACCATTCGTCTTATTCAAAAAATTTTAGAATTATTATTTATTTTCTTTGTGACTTACTTTATTATCCAAAGTACTTTAAGCATAATTTTTCGTTTTTTATATTTGCACAAAATTTTTGAATAAAACGAGTGGTCAAACATTGTAAGCAAAAACTCAAAATCCCTTATATTATGGGACGGAGGGAGTACTTGTTTGCATGTTTTTATGGTTTTGTGTATATGTGATGGTGACTTAACTGTGTACTAATTTTGTCTTAAAGATCTATGGTGTTGAACCGACAGAAAGTGCAATTTTATCTGGAGGAAGACCTGGTAAGATACTGCTCTTTGTATAGCTCAACTTGCATAAATCACATTAGTAATACTAGTACTATTTGTGATGCATAACTATGGATGTCAAAAATTATTTGAAACATAGGGTGCACAGTATGGATGGTTCACGTATTTGATGTAATAATTTAGCTGTCTCGATTCTGTTGAACCATCATGACATTATCACTGTTCCATGTTTTTGGTTTCAGGTCCACACAAAATCCAAGGTATAGGTGCTGGTTTTGTTCCTGGTGTACTTGATGTCAATCTCCTGGATGAAGTGGTCCAAGTAAGCAAATCCAAATTTTCTGTTCCAGGCCACTAATCAAATGAAAAAGATCTTGTATTGTTTCTATTTTTCTGTAAACAATGGCAATGCAGTATGTGCTGCTAAACCTGCCACAAGGCCTGCATATAAAAACTCTCTTATAACCACGTCTCTGTCGAATGTCCAGTTCCAGTTCACCTGATGAACCGTTTGCTAACCCCAACGTTAGAATTCAATTGTTGATCCACAGATCCAGACATGCGCACGGTTATGTATATAGAAACAAATGTACGGAATGCAATTACTAAATTGATCTGAACATTTCTTGCAATTCTACTCTGGTAGGTCTCAAGTGATGAAGCCATCAGCATGGCGAAGCAGCTAGCGTTGAAAGAAGGGCTGCTGGTGAGCTCAGTACCCCTTAAGAATCCACCCAACTCTTCTCCACCTATTGCTGCACATATAGCCTATGGTTTAATTCCATGACAAATATTTTTCAGGTTGGGATCTCATCTGGTGCTGCTGCAGTCGCTGCCATCAGGGTCGCGCAGCGGCCCGAGAACAAAGGGAAGCTCGTAGTTGTAGGTTCCCTCCTCAGAACCCTGTTTTGCCAGGCATTTCTTAAACCGTTCATGATCTCCATTGTTTTGCAACCTACAAAAACCTCTTAGATTCTCTGCTCTAACATGTCCATCGCCGTCATTTGTGCTCGCAGGTGGTCTTCCCGAGCTTCGGTGAGCGCTACCTGTCGTCTGTCCTCTTCGAATCGATCAAGAGGGAGGCCGAAAACATGGTGTTCGAGCCATGAACGGCTCCAGCATTGTGCAAATTGTGCTTCCATGGTTTAGGGGGCTTGGAGAGAATGGCGTCCCGAGTGCATTTCTTCATGTTGGTCGCACTTGCCATCATGTAGTCGCTTGATCTGAATAAAGAACTTACATACATCAATCAAAGTCTGGGGATTCGATCAGCTTTCCTGGTGTTATATGAGCAGTTCATATGTGTACTTTCTTCCATACTGAAATGTGTATCTTAGCTACTGAAGCTTCCATGGATTGCTGGGCTGCTCGAGTGACAAGAACACGCATAAATTAATTCGGCCCGCTCATAGATTCAGCCCACGCGAGCGCGGTCGTACTACGAAGCTACTCTAGTTTATTTTCTTGAGCGAGGGTAGCTAGCTTCTTCTAGTTTATTTTCTAGAAGAAACTCGACTATTTTTAGGAGTTTTTGATTCTGAAAGAAGCTGTAATCACTAAAAGTTTCCTTAAACATGTCCCTGGTCATGCTTGGCAACAGTTTAATAGTAATAATAACCAAATCAATTCTGAATTTTAAAATTTGGATTTTTGACCTGTTGAGTTGACAGTATCTTTTCCCGGCGATTTCTGACCTGAAAGTCTCAATCAGACAGCTTTCGAAAAGGAAAAAAGAAATTCCAAATCACACATGGTTTGGTTTCTTCACTGGCACAGAGAAAATAAATAAAAAAGATAAAAAAGTTTTTATTTAGGTGGCGGTAGCAATCCCCGGGCTTCTTTTCTCCCACCGAAAGGGAGCTCGAACCAGCTCACACCCCCGCGACCGCCACCCCACTCCTTCGCACCATCACCACACCACCCTGTATATTCCTCCTCTTCTTCTTCCTTCGCTTTCTCCCTTTCCAGTTGTTCGCTTCGCGTGCGCATTCGCAGCTACCAGTTTGGTTTGCGGCGCCAAGAATTGGTGGCTATAGCCTTGCCTTTTCTTTTCTTTTCTTTTCTTTTTTGCATGTTTGGGCGGCGGCGATCGAGCTGAGTCGATCGGCCGGAGTGGATCGACGACGGAAATGGTCAGCCGCTAGCGTTGTAGTAGTAGCAAGCTACTAGCTCTGTTCATCGAGTTGCAGGGCTTGCGATCGTGTTGTGTTGGGTTGGGTCTTGGGTTTGGTGGTTTGAATTTGGTGTGGCGTTTTTCTTGGGCAGGGGACGCCGGTGAACATCATCGTCGGGTCGCATGTCTGGGCGGAGGATCCCGACGACGCGTGGATCGACGGGGAGGTCGTCGAGATCAGGGGCGGCGACGCCACCATCGTCAGCACCGATGGCAAAACGGTCGGTCGCTTGCTTCCCTGCCACTGAGCTAGCTGATCATTCTTTCGTTGTCCCCGGTTCTTGATATGATCAAGAACCCCGAGTATTGCAGAGCTCGAAGCGAACTGTTCTGATTTTCTGAATTCGTATTTTGCTGTTGAACCGTGCGCGCTAGGTGTTTGTAGAATTGCCTGAATGGAACTGCTACTGAAGCAGCAGCTGTTGCTTTTTTGTGGGCAGATTGTGGCGAGCCTCGCAAGCATTTACCCCAAGGATACGGAAGCGCCACCTGCAGGAGTTGACGACATGACGAAGCTGGCTTACCTCCATGAACCTGGAGTCTTGCATAACCTCGCTTGTCGGTACGGTATTAACGAGATATATGTGAGTGTTTACCATTCAGAATTCTCCATCTTGATATTTAGTACTTCGTTCAGGACCATTTGGGCTTAGCCATCTTTCCTTTTACCATGAAAATATATCGAACAGACATACACCGGCAATATCTTGATTGCAGTCAACCCTTTCCGGAGGCTGCCTCATCTGTATGACGTGCACATGATGGAGCAGTACAAAGGTGCTGCATTTGGGGAGCTCAGCCCTCATCTGTTTGCGATCGCAGATGCTTGTTACAGGTGTGTTCTGTACTCCTGTTCACGCCTTTGGTAATCTATGGACCGTGTCAGTCTCGAATTGTGAGTTTGTGACTGATGTTCTTTTCTTCATTGTGATGCTATCAAACTCAGGGCAATGATCAATGAACAAGGGAGCCAATCGATATTGGTGAGCGGTGAGAGTGGTGCTGGTAAGACAGAGACGACCAAGATGCTCATGAGGTATCTTGCATTCATGGGAGGAAGGTCTGGAACAGAGGGTCGGACTGTTGAACAGCAGGTTTTAGAGGTACAAAGAACTCCCCATTTCTCACCATCTTATTTGTTTTCACTATCTTTTTTAGAACATCTCCATTCACTCTATTGATTTCTCTGCAATGCATATAGTCTAATCCAGTACTGGAAGCATTTGGAAATGCGAAGACGGTGAAGAACAACAACTCGAGGTGTAGATTTGAATCAGCAACTACAACCATGATATGGCAATTGATATTTTGTAATTTCCAAATTTGATATGTTGAATTTTTCAGTCGATTCGGTAAGTTTGTTGAAATCCAATTCGACAAATATGGGAAGATATCCGGGGCTGCTGTTCGAACGTACCTCCTTGAAAGATCGCGAGTATGTCAGGTCTCTGATCCTGAAAGGAACTACCATTGCTTTTACATGCTATGTTCTGCACCACCAGAGGTAATTCTCTAGAAACACTTAAATACCACTTCCATCATCTGCATGCTCAGAGTGCCATAGTACTGATTACTTCTGAATGTTGAACTGATTTCAGGATGTGAAAAAGTTTAAGGTGGGAGACCCAAGATCATTCCATTATTTGAACCAAACAAACTGCTATGAAGTAGCTAATGTGGATGACGCAAGAGAATACCTAGAAACAAGAAATGCTATGGATGTTGTTGGCATTGGTCAAGAAGAGCAGGTATACTTCATAGAGTTTTTTTTTAAAAAAAGGTCCTTGCATAGACTAGTAAGTACTAAATAAGTTGCGGATGCTATAATTGATTCATCCTTTTTACTTCTCAAGGATGCAATCTTTAGAGTAGTAGCTGCAATCCTTCATCTGGGAAACATCAATTTCTCGAAGGGGCAAGAAATTGATTCATCGAAGCTGAGGGATGAGAAATCAGTCTATCACCTGAAAATAGTAGCAGAACTTCTAATGTATGTATAAATTCTTCCCATGGTTTATAATCTATCATCTGCAAATATATATTTCTGCTGTAATCAAGTGTAAAATATATTTTAGGTGTGATGAAAAGGCTCTTCAAGATTCGCTTTGTGAGCGTGTTATTGTAACACCTGATGGAAATATCACAAAGCCACTTGATCCAGATTCTGCAGCACTGAGTCGTGACGCCTTAGCAAAGACTGTGTATTCACGACTGTTTGACTGGTAAGAATGAAGGTATATCATATTCATCAGTGGACAGTGATCAAATAGCAAGTGCTATTACTCTTACTGCCTGGTACGTCTAGATCTGAATGTGACAAAGGAACTTCTTTCTGAGCTAACAGGATTGTGGACAAGATTAACAACTCAATCGGTCAAGATCCAGATGCAACTAATATTATAGGAGTACTTGATATATATGGATTTGAGAGTTTCAAGATTAACAGGTTTGCCAGCAGACTAGTTTCAATTATGCAAGTGTGCTATTGGTTTTGTTTCTTAATACCTGAAACACAAATCATACTATACTTATCTGGCAGCTTCGAACAACTATGTATCAACTTGACAAACGAGAAGTTGCAGCAGCACTTTAACCAGGTTAGCGAGACCTTTAGATTACTACTCCTCCGTCCCCTAATATAAGGGGTTTTGACATTTTACTTGCACTGTTTGACCACTCGTCCTATTCAAAAAATTTGTGCAAATATAAAAAACGAAAAATTGTGCTTAAAGTACTTTGGGTAATAAAGTAAGTCACAAATAAAATAAATTTTTAAATAAGATGAATGGTCAAACAGTGCAAACAAAAGTCCAAAAAATTTTTAAATAAGACGAATGGTCAAACAGTCCAAGCAAAATGTCAAAATCCCTTATATTAGGGGACGAAGGGAGTAGATATTAAGAAAAAAAATATTGCAGAATATTTATGACTAATAAGGAGACTGGTGAATTCCTGTTACAGCATGTATTCAAGATGGAGCAAGAAGACTATACAAGGGAGGAAATAGATTGGAGCTATGTGGAATTTGTGGACAATCAAGATGTGCTGGACTTAATTGAGAAAGTGAGTTCCTGAAGCATTTCACAAGTGATAATTGTATCTATTGATGAATAACACCTGCCAATTCCATGCAGAAACCTGGAGGAATAATTGCACTACTGGATGAAGCATGGTATGAATAGTCATCTTTCCAGAAGAAAAAAGTATTTTTATCAAGAAACTCTGCATGTGCATGCTGACACCTGCAACAGTTAAAAATATTACTTCTTATGTTTTGTCCATAAAAAAACATTGGGGTAGTTTTTCCTAGCAAAAAAAACATTCAGTAGCATCAAATGCAAGTTTCCATGTGTTACCCTATGACATGTGCCTAACTGCCTATCCATGCAGCATGTTTCCAAAGTCCACACATGAAACATTTGCCCAAAAGATGTATCAAACATACAAGGCACATAAGCGCTTCAGCAAACCCAAACTTGCTCGGACAGCCTTTACAATCAACCACTATGCAGGAGATGTAAGTGATAATCAGCGAAATGTGATATATCGTGTTTAGATTTACCATCAAGGATTTTGAACAATTGTTCTAGTAAACAGGTCACATATCAAGCTGATCAGTTTCTTGACAAGAACAAAGACTATGTGGTGGCAGAACATCAGGCTCTACTTAATTCCTCAAGGTGCCCTTTTGTTGCAAATCTCTTTCCTCCATTACCTGAGGAAACCTCTAAACAGTCCAAATTCTCTTCCATCGGTACTCGCTTTAAGGTGTGTCATGATTGTAGCCAGAGGCTTAGAGTTATATGAATTAGCCTTGGAATTTTCTGTAACCCTTCATTTTGCTACAATATGTGCAGCAACAACTACAAGCTCTCATGGAAACACTGAGTACGACAGAACCACACTACATTAGATGTGTGAAACCCAATGCTGTACTTAAACCAGGAATCTTTGAGAATTTCAATGTCCTTAACCAATTGAGATGCGGGGTATGATGTGCATTTTGCTCCACATTGTTATTCAGAAGCCTTGTTTTTTTTTGTGTTATTTTACTTTCTATAAAAGCTGGACCGTGAAGGTCTTTTGTCTAAAAAATGTTAAAAATGGTTAATGCTGCAGGGTGTTCTGGAAGCAATCCGGATCAGTTGTGCTGGCTATCCAACAAAAAGGACATTTGATGAGT